GCTCACCGGTCTGCATATCCCCTCGTTCTCCAGGAACCTAGTTGGTGTCGGCTGCCTCCAGGACCTTGGCGTCACCACTACGTTCCCTGGTCACGAGCGGTATGCTATCTGTACCGAGGCCGCCACTGGTGCCCCCCTTACCACTTTCCCCCGGGACCCGGTGTCCGGCCTGTTCACACTTGACACCGCGACGTCCCCGGCTGGGTCTTCCCCTCCGGTAGCTGCGTCCACCCAGGTTGCTGCCGCGTGCTCCTGTCGGTCCCTCACTCACCCGACTCTCCTTTGGCACCACCGCCTTGGTCACCCTGCACTCCCACGTCTGCGTCACATGTCCCAGCACGGTCTCGTCCTTGGTCTCCCCGGTTCGTTCCCCGAGTTTCCCTCCTCCCCCGCCCCACCGTGCACGCCTTGTGTCGAGGGCCGGCTCCGCCGTGCCCCTCACTCCTCCTCTTTTCCCCCTACCACCGCACCTCTGCAGACTCTGCACATGGACGTCTGGGGCCCAGCCCCGGTCCATGGGCCGCGTCGCGAGCGCTTCTTCCTAGTGCTTGTCGACGACTTCACGCGCTACACCACCGTCTTCCCCCTGGAGCGGAAGGCCGACGTGCCTGACGTTCTCATCCCCTGGCTTGTCTCTGCTCGTGTCCACCGCGGTCTCCCTGCCTTGCGCCTTCACTCCGACCGGGGTGGCGAGTTTGCCTCAGGTGTCCTTGGTCGCTTCTGTCGTGCGGAGGGCATCACCCAGACGTTTACCCTGCCGGACTCCCCGCAGCAGAATGGGGTCGCTGAGCGACGCATCGGTTTGGTCATGGAGGTGGCTCGCACCTCCATGATCCACGCCGGTGCACCCCATTTTCTGTGGCCGTTCGCCGTGCGCTACGCCGCTCACCAGCTTAACCTGTGGCCGCACCCCCAGCGGCCGCAGGTTTCGCCGACCCTTCTGTGGACCGGGTCCCCTGGTGACGCGTCTGCGTTCTGCATCTGGGGCTGCCTTGCTCACGTTCGTGCCTCTGGCACGGACAAGCTCACTGCCCGCACCCTCCCCTGCGTCTTCCTCGGTTTCCCCCTTGACGCGTCCGACTGGCACTTCTACCACCCGCCGTCTCACCGCTTCTTTCACTCTCGCGACGTCACCTTTGACGAGTCCGTCTCCTTCTACCGCCGCTTTCCCCACCGTGGTCCCCCGGTTACTCCCCCCCTGTTCCTGGTTCCTCCCTCCCTGGTGGTGCCTGCCCCTCCCCCCCCCCCGCCCCCCCGTCCGGCCCCCTCTGGTGTGTCTCACGTCACCCCCCTCCCGTCGGTCGTCCCGGTCGACGAGTCTTCTGACTCTGGTAGTCCTCCGGTGCAGTCCTCGCCGTCTGTCCCTCCCCCGGTGTCTCCTCCTCCACCGCCTCCGCAGCCGCCGTCGCCGCAGCTGCTGCAGCCGTCGTCTCCACCGCCGCCGCCGTTGCAGCCGTCGTCTCCGCCGCCGCCGCCGTCGCAGCCGTCGCTGCAGCCGCCGCCGCCGCTGTCGTCGCTGCCGCCGTTTGTGGACTCTGGGGGTGCTGGCTTTGAGGTGGGTACTAGTCCCGGGGCTCCTGTCGTGGCTTGTCCCGGCGGACCTGGGGGTGGTACCGGTGCTGGCGGGGTTTCGGGCTCTGGGGGTGTCCCTTCTGGGGGTGCAGGTGTGGAGGGTTCGGGAGGTAGCCGTCGCGCATCTTGCGGCCCTGGTGTTGGTGTTGTGTCGCCGCAGCCGCAGTCCCCGCCTGTGTCCGCCCTCCGTCTGCTCGGCCTTCCGTCTCCTGACCCTGCGCCTGTTCCTCTCCTGCCGTCCCCCCCTCTTCCTGTCTACGGCCCCGTGTTCCCTCTGCCAGACTCGTCCCCGGCTCGTCTTCCCCCTCGTTCCCCTCCTGTGTCCCCTCCTCTGTCTCCTGACCCGACGCCGCCCTCACACGTCTGGTCTCGCCGCCCCTCTCATGCTCGTCCTGTCTCCCCTGTCCCGCGCTCTCACCCTATGTTGCTCCGTTCCCACGCGTCTCGTCCTCCCCTCCTCCCGTCTCCTCCTCCGTCTTCTCTTGTCGTTGCGTCTCCTCCTCTGTCCGACTCCTTTCGTGCCGCTCGTCCTCTTGTTCCTCGGGTCCTTGCCTCTCTCGTTACCGACCCGTCTGTTCCAGTGTCGAGTCTTGACGCCCTCGTCGCTGCGGTCGCTGACTTCGCCTCTACCCGCCGCCTTGACTACGCCACCGCTCTGGTCTCTCACCCTGCCTGTCCTCCGTCTGTCGGGGGTGCTCCTGCCCTCGGCAGTGACGTCCTGGAGGACCGCCAGTTTGAGCTTGCTTTCCTGTCCGAGGCTGCTCCCCATCTCTGTTCCATGCTGCTAGTCCCTGAGGGTGACCCAGACGCTTTCGACATCCCGACCCCTCGTACTTACGCTGAGGCGGTTTCGGGACCCTGGGCCTCTCAGTGGATAGCTGCCATGGAGCAGGAGATGGCATCTTGGAGATCCACCGGCACCTTCGTCGACGCAGTTCCCCCACCTGGGGTGAACGTGGTCGATGGCCGTTGGCTCTTCAAGGTGAAGCGCCCTCCTAGAGAGCCGCCTGTGTTCAAGGCGCGCTACGTGGCTAGAGGCTTCAGTCAGCGCGAGGGGGTGGACTTCTTTCAGACTTTCGCTCCTACCCCGAAGATGACTACTCTTCGGGTTCTGCTACACGTAGCGGCTCAGCGTGACTACGAGCTTCACTCCCTCGACTTCTCCACTGCCTTTCTTCAGGGCAGCCTTCACGAGCAGGTCTACCTGCGTCGCCCTCAGGGCTTTACTGGCACCTTCCCCCCTGGGACCCAGTGGCTTCTGCGGCGGCCAGTCTACGGCCTGCGCCAGGCGCCTCGTGAGTGGCACGACACTTTGCGTGCTACCCTTGCTGACCTGCAGTTCTTTCCGTCCTCTGCAGACCCCTCGCTCTTCGTTCGTGCTGGCTCGACTCCGTTCTACATCCTCGTCTACGTAGACGACCTGGTCTTTGCCACTGCTGACAGGGACGCACTGGCCTCCGTGAAGGCAGAGCTGCTGAAGAGACACACCTGCACTGACCTTGGAGAGCTGCGCCGTTACCTTGGCTTGCAGATCTCCAGGGACAGAGCCGCGCGCACCATCACCCTGACTCAGTCACACTTGGTGCGCCAGGTCCTTCAGAGGTTCGGCCTTCAGTTCTCCTCCGCACAGCCCACCCCTCTTCCTCTGGACCACAGCCTCTCCGCTCCAGTTCCTGAGGAGTCGGTAGATCCCAGTGGTCCTTACGCTGAGCTAGTGGGTTGCCTCATGTACCTGATGACTTGCACTCGCCCAGATCTCGCATACCCTCTCAGCATCCTGGCTCGTTTCGTGGCCACAGGCAGGCACCGACCTCAGCACTGGTCTGCCGCTAAGAGGGTTTTGCGTTATCTTGCAAGTACATCGGGCATGGGGTTAGTGCTAGGCGGACGCAGGCCAGTGGTCCTTACTGGACACACAGACGCTTCTTGGGCAGACGACGCCGAGACGCTCAGGTCTTCCCAGGGCTACTGCTTTAGCCTTGGTTCAGGTGCTGTCTCGTGGAGAGCTACCCGCTCTTCGTCTGTTGCCCAGTCCAGCTGTGAGGCCGAGATCTACGCCGGTGCCATGGCGGCACAGGAGCTCCGCTGGCTGACCTTCTTGCTCACTGACTTAGGTGAGCGGCCTAGCTCTGCCCCGGTCCTGTACGCTGACAACAGGGCCATGATCCTCCTGTGTCAGGAGCCTCGACTCGAGGGCAGAGCGAAGCACATCCAGCTGCGGTACTTCCTCCTGCGTGAGCTACAGCAGCGTCGCCAGGCTCGCGTAGTACACTTAGCCTCCGGTGCCAACACAGCTGATATCTTTACGAAGGCGCTTGCGCCTAAAGATCATCAGCGGCACTGTGTACAGCTTTGTCTGGTTCCTGTAGTCTCTCACTTACTCGGGCCTTGACTTTGTACTGTCCTATATATCTGTGTGTACACTCAGACTGGACTTGTGTCCTCTTACAGTGGTTGGACTAGTAGTGCCGCCCTGTACTAGTTCTTGCCTTGCCTGTACTCCTTCTGACTGGTCTCTTAGACCCTTGTCTCAGAGGCTGGACTAGTAGTGCCACCCTGAGCTGCTTGTCTAGAACATTCCCCTATGCAGTCCAGGGGGTGTGTCAAACATGTTTAGTTATCATGCTTGTAGAGACTGTATAGGGTCATCTTCTAGAGAGTACAACAGTTAGGTATATGTTTGTGTACTCTCTCTCTCTCTATGATCATCAATTTCACTGTTTGATATGCTATTCTAGCCTGTGGTTTGAACGAGTTTCCAGAGAGTTTTCATTAGTTTCAATACTTCCTATTGGATGTTAGTATTGATGAATAAAATTGGCTATATAATATTATCTACGGCCCATTTTTCCATTCGATTAGGAGTTTGCATGTTTTGTGTGGGGTATACGTATATTGTGTCATAGGAAATTGAGAATGCGTCCTTTTCATTTGGCGGCTAAGTGCAGGGAACCGTTCTGGAAGATAATGAGTCTATAAGGTTGCAACATGCGTAAACTATGAGTTCAATACACAGATATGTTTTTTTGTTAACCTATCATGATGGAAACTGATTAACTGATTGGAGAATAATCTAAATGTCATTCAATCTAGTGAATTACACGTCTCCATTCATGTATGACTTGTGCATTTGCTGCGTAACTGAACTCGCTTGCAACCGAAGCAGTGCTATCGTGAAGCTGGGAAAGAGCTGTTCCCCGAAGAGTTGCTTCTACCCTTAAGGCGTGGTACATGGTTTGCCCTTTGCCTGGAGACTGCAATCCTGGTTGCGGGACTGACGAAAGGCCCAGCTCAACCCATTTTCGCACGCCATTCAGCGAGCTTGGTAACCAGGTGATTGCGCAAATTTGATGGGTTACGCAACCACACCCTCACCTCCTCATCAGCCGAACATCCATACTCCGTCATACTCCCCCTCGTTCATCCTACCACCACTGCGTGGCAGCTACATTACCACAGCACAGACTAAGCGGCTCTGTACGGATGCAGTGACTTCAAACGAAGAATAGTTGTTCGCCATGATTCGCGGGAAGCTGGTCGGCTCCCTGTCGATAGTCCTCTTCGTCACTCTCGCCACGGTTTACGGTCCGAACCTGTCACACAGGTGAGGCTAGGTTCGGCAGGTAAGCCGGAGGTTCACATGTCCTGTCACACAGGGGAGGCTAGGTTCGGCAGGCGAGCCGGGAGGTTCACATGTCCTCTCACACAGGTAGGTTAGATTCCTAGGTGAATTTTCAAGCCATGCTTCGTATGTTGCAACAGGATTCGCGTCTGCGTGTTCGTCGAGGCAAACTTATCATATATGCTGTCTGTCATTGTCGTTGAAATCTGAGAGTTCTCGGAGGATGTATTTGGAGAACGAGCCTGAATTGTCTAGAGAACGAGCTTCAGAATTTGGAGATGCTGTCTGTCTGTCGCTCCTGATTCCGGACTTGGCTCGAGCGTTACCCAAACCGAGCAGGAGATGACCTTTGAGTCGATTCAAAAGGTGGTTTTTATTCGACTCAAAAATCACATCCAGGCCAGAGCAGGAGATCACTTTTGAGTCGACTCAAAAAACACAAGTCTGAGATGCTGTCTGTCTGCCGTCGCTCCTGATTCTGGACTTGTCTCGAGCGTTACCCAAACAGAGCAGGAGATGACCTTTGAGTCGACTAAAAAAAAACCTCCAGATCAGGAGATGGCTTTTGAGTCAACTGTAAAGGCAGAATCTGGAGATGCTGTCTGTCGTCGCTCCTGACTCTGGACACGGCTCGAGCGTTATCCAAACAGAGCAGGAGCCAGTTTTGCCTATCTCCTCTCATCATGATTCCGACGAGCAGGTTGACGATTTGCATGCCTCGTGATCGTTCCAGACTCACATCTTCAGGAACAGTAGCAGTAACTTCTCAGTAACTTCACAGTAACTTTTCCACGCTTAGCTCCTTCAAGCCTTCCCATTCCTCCTTGCCTTCACTTTATTTCAATTCCTATGCTTTCCAGAATCACATCTTCAGGCGGCAGTGACTGTGACGTGTGCTCATCTCAGGAACTATTAACACTGCGAGCACTGTACCAAGGTGAGCAATAACACGGTGTGCACTGTACCGAGGTGAGCAGTAACAAGGTATGCACTGTACCGAGGTGAGGCCGGCCTGCTTCTAAGACACTGCGTGTCGTGTCCAAACTTTCATTGTCAAGCTGCAGCAGCAACGAGTGTGACGTGTGCTCCTCTTAGGAACTCTTAACACTGTGAGCACTGTACCAAGATGCGCAAAAACTAAACTAGGCGTGCACTGAAGAAGATGAGCATGTAACCAGATGTGCACTGTACCGAGGCGAGCAATATTGAGGACAGCTGGTACGCAGCACAACATTGGACTGAACTGAACTGGCTGAACCAAGGTGAACCGCTACTGCGGTTATATTGTTGAGGAGTTGACTTTTGAGTCGACTCAAAAGTCACCCCGTTACTGCGGTTATAGGGTTGAGGAGTTCCTGTACCTTGTAACACAAATCATGCGTTCTTCTTCTTTCTTCCTGCCCGGCATAGCATTGTAATCCAATCTATTGATTCTCATTTCTTCCTTAACCCATACTTCTTCATTGCATTGCAGTGATTGCATCTGCATGCACCGCGACGCGACTGATGATTGGTTTCTTCCGCTTTGTCCCTCCACAGAGCATCAGGCAGCCTTGGAGCGTCAAAGCAGCAGCAGCAGCAGCAGCAGCGATGGGAATGCTGACATCAGCGACCCATCCACTGATGTCAGCAGCGTTGCCTTTTCCAATCCTAAGGCGGATGCTGACATCAGCATGACTGCCGCTGCTGGGGTCGACTCTCCGGCGCGAGCTGACGTCAGCAGCCCCCGCCGCGGCCGGTCGCTCCTGGCCGTTGATCCTGACGATCCCGATCTGACGACTGACGACATCCGGAACCTGTGCCATGAGAAGGACAAGGAGCTCCTCAAGGCTTCCAGACTGCTCAAGGACCTGGATGTGAGTTTGGGCTCATGGGATTGTATGGATGTGACTGTATTGCGGTGACTGTGTCGATCGTAGTGTCTAGGCTTCTTACGTATGTGTGATGACAACCTGTGCCATGAGAAGGACAAGGAGCTTCTCAAGGCGTGGAGAGTCGACTGCTGAATGACCTGCATGTGAGTGTGGGATGATGTGGATGTGAGCGGTGGTACCAGATGTGGTTGTGAGCGGTGGTACCAGATGTGGATGTGAGCGGTGGTAACAGATGTGGATGTGAGCGGTGGTAACAGATGTGGTTGTAGTTTGAGATTCTTCCTGGCCGCCGGAAGGTCCACACCCGAATCATCGTGTGCACATGAGCAGTGACGGACCTTTGAGGCGCCTCAAAAGTGTGCACATGAGCAGTGACGGACCTTTGAGGCGCCTCAAAAGTGTGCACATGAGCAGTGACGGACCTTTGAGGCGCCTCAAAAGTGTGCACATGAGCAGTGACGGACCTTTGAGGCGCCTCAAAAGTGTGCACATGAGCAGTGACGGACCTTTGAGGCGCCTCAAAAGTGTGCACATGAGCAGTGACGGACCTTTGAGGCGCCTCAAAAGTGTGCACATGAGCAGTGACGGACCTTTGAGGCGCCTCAAAAGTGTGCACATGAGCAGTGACGGACCTTTGAGGCGCCTCAAAAGTGTGCACATGAGCAGTGACGGACCTTTGAGGCGCCTCAAAAGTGTGCACATGAGCAGTGACGGACCTTTGAGGCGCCTCAAAAGTGTGCACATGAGCAGTGACGGACCTTTGAGGCGCCTCAAAAGTGTGCACATGAGCAGTGACGGACCTTTGAGGCGCCTCAAAAGTGTGCACTTGAGCAGTGACGGACCTTGCCTTGGGGATGTGTGTGTCTGTTCGTATGGTCGTTTTGCTACTACTAGACTGCTTAAGTCTGCCACGCAATACTCACTCTCTCCTAGTGTGTCTGGCCTACTCTTATTCTGACTGTGTACCTGGAAGCATTTTGCAGACGTGGAATCCGTGTGTAATGAATGAGTCGATTCAAAAATGAATTTTGAGTCGACTCAAAACTCAAAAGTTGACTAAAAAATCGACTCATTACACACGGATTTCGCAGACATGGAAGTGGACATTTCGAACAAGATGGGCTGGGCTGGCTAGAGGGCTGGACATGAGCAAGGAGTTCAAGGCCTTTTCTTGTGCTGGTCTCTCCCCAACCCCCATCCCACCCACTCCCCCCCCCCCCCCCCACTCTCCCACCCCGCCTTACTCTTCTCAGCTCGCGTTACATGTTGGTGGATACATCAATACATCAATACATGTTGGTGGATACATCAATACATCAATACATGTTGGTGGATACATCAATACATCAATACATGTTGGTGGATACATCAATACATCAATACATGTTGGTGGATAAACATGTTCCTGGACATGGGCAAGGAGTTCAAAGTGGTGGAGCTGAAAGACCTTTTCCTGCCGTTCTCTCTGACCTCCGAGCTCCTCCCTACACTCACTCCCATTCCCTATTGCAGATCGCCCTGCCGCAGCAGCACATGGAGGTGGACAATCTGAAGAAGATGCTGGACATGAGCAAGGAGTTCAAGCTGAATCTTTACCCCCCCCTTTCCCCGTTCCCCAACTCCCACACACACAGATCGCCCTGCAGCGGCAGTACATGGAGGTGGACAACCTCAACAAGATGCTGGACATGAGCAAGGAGTTCAAAGCGGAGGAGCTGAGGGACTTCCGAGGGCAGGAGCAGAAGGCGGGAGGGGTGAGTGTTTTTTCCAGGGCGGCACTGAAGGAGGGGTAAAGGACAGGGCGGATTGTGCAAAAGGATTTGAAGGCGGAGGAGCTGTGGGACTTCAGAGGGCAGGAGCAGAAGGCGGGAGGGGTGGGTATGTTGGGTTTGTGATTTTTGAGTCGACTCAAAAATCACCTGACTCAAAAATCACCTTTTGAGTCGACTAAAAAGTTACCTTTTGAGTCGACTCAAAAATCACCTGACTCAAAAATAACCTTTTGAGTCGATTAAAAAATCACCTTTTGAGTCGACTAAAAAATCACCTACGGATGTGCAAAAGTAGTTGAAGGCGGAGGAGCCAAGAGACTTCGGAGGGCAGGAGCAGAAGGGGGGAGGGGTGGGTATGTTGGGTTTGTAGGTGAGTTGGGGAGAGGGGAACTTAAAACATCTGACATCATCGATCCACTTTCCCTCCCCGTTTCCATCCGTCTGGCTCGTTTCCTTCATATTGCTGAGGATTGTGAATCATGAAATGAATCCGTTTGGCTCAAAGCAGCTTCCATTTCCCACCCCCCTGCATGTCCCTTGTGTCAGATGTCTGAAAAGACTCGCGAGTTTTTGGAGCAGTGCAAGAACAACCTCGTTACAGAGTACACCTCCAAGGAGAACAAGGACTGGGCCATCTACAAGGTACGTATTATGGGTAGCCAATCATCACCCCTCACTTGTGGTGTAGCTCCCAAGACTGTGCAAGAACAACCTCGTTACTGAGTACACCTCTAAGGAGAATGAGGATTGGGCCATCCACTACAAGCTATGCATACCACCATACCGTACCCCTTTATGTCGCTCCGTTTCTGTTGTAAGCCTCTAAAACAATGCAAGAAGATTCTTGTTACAGAGTACACCGCTAAAGAGAACAGAGACTGGGCCATCTATAGGTTATGTGTGTAGTGAATGGCCGCCGTCACCGCCATTCAGGGCAATGCGTGCGAGGCTACGGACGAGGAGATAGCTTGCGAACATGAACTACAAGCTAAAGTGTGCCCCCCACCCCCAACCCCCCCCCCCCGGCCTCCCTCCCTCTCTCCCTCCCTCCCTCCCTCCCTCCCCCGCCCTCCCTCCCTCTCCATTCTTTCTTTTTTTCCTATCTGCCCGCTCAGGGTGATGTATGTGATGCAACGGACAAGGAGATAGCTTCAGTCAGTACACGAGTCACGAGCTGAGAGGATGCGCTCCTCTCCCACCCATTCACCCCCCTTCACCGCCCTTAACTGCCCTTCACCACCCTTCTCTCTGTTCGTCCTTCCCTTTCCCACCCCAGGGCTATGCGTGCGAGGCAACGGACGAGGAGATAGCCCAGTATATGAACTACGAGCTGAGGGGGCTGTGTCCTGACGACTGGTTCTTCGTTCAGCACCTCATTTTCGTCAAGAACTGCTATGCGCTGCCGAAGCGGCGTTGCCTGGCGCGCACTCCCCAGGAGTTCATCGAGGTGTGTATTGTATAGATAGATTGCGCTTCAGCTCGCCTGGCCCAGTGCTCTTGTAACATAGATTGCGCTTGTCAATGCGCATTCGAGGTGTGAAATTGTGCCCTCGTATTTGAGGCGAGCTGAGGTGAGCTGAGGCGAGCTGAGGAGAGCTGAGGCGAGCTGAGGTGAGCTGAGGTGAGCTGAGCCATAGTTCTTCGTTCAGCACTCCACGGGAGTTAAAAGAAGTGAGCCAAGAAGAAGGCACTAGATGACAGGCCTGTGAGTTAGAGCCACTGGTGTCCCCTCCCCCCCTTGCTCCCCCCCTCTTGTCCTTCTTAGCCCTCCCCTCGCTCCCCCCCTCCTGTCCTTCTTAGCCCTCCCCTCGCTCCCCCCCTTGTATCCCCCCATCTCGTCCCTCCCTACTAGCTGCGCCCTCTTTTGTTCCCCCATCTCGCCCCTCTCTCCAGCCGCTCCCTCGCTCTCACGCTCTCTTCAACCAAATGTCCCTGCACGGCGGGGCTGTGAAGTGGAGCCACCGTTGGCCCTCTTATCCCTCCCCCCTCTCCCCTCCTTCCCCTACTCTCCTCCCAGCTTCTCCCCCGTTCGCGTGCACTCTTGAGCCAGAAGGCTCTGCACGGTGGGGCTGTGAGGTGGAGCCACACTTGCAAACCCTTGTCTCTCTCTTTTGCCCTCCACTTTCCCTTCTCTCCTCCCAGCCTCTCCCCTGTTCCCATGCGCTCTTCAACCAGAAGGCACTGCAAGACGGGGCTGTGAGGTGGAGTAATGAACTGCCCTCCTCCCTCCGTGCTGACTTTCCTGCTCTCCCGTGCTACAGCCCCTTCCAAGGTCGCACGCGCTCTTCAACCAGAAGGCACTGCATGGTGGGGCTGTGAGGTGGAGCCACACTTGCAAACCCTTGTATCTCTCTTTTGCCCTCCACTTCCCCTCCTCTCCTCCCAGCCTCTCCCCCGTTCCCACGCTCTCTTCAACCAAAAGGCACTGCACGACGGGGCTGTGAGGTGGAGCCACCACGGATGCAAGTCGTTTGACTGCCTCAACCACAGGACCACAGGCGAGTGTGCTTTTGTCGAGTGTGTGCAGTGATTACGTTGCTTGCTGCAAATGCACTTATAGCGAGGATGGGAAGCGCTGGTGGAAAAGCAGTTAGGTGGAGCCACCATGGTCCACAAGCGCACGTCGTTTGAGTGCTGCAACAACAGGACCACCACAGCACAGGACCACAGGTCTATAACGAGTTCTTATAGCACATATTGATTATCGAGGAGGGGGAGCAGTGAGGTGGAGGAACTGCACTGCACTGCACTGCACATATCGAATATCGAGGTCAAAGTAAGGAGAAGTGCAGTTCCTTACTTTGACTGCCTCAACCGCATGACAACAGGCGAGTGTGCTAGTTTGGTGCTTATACTGAAGGTGCTTCTGACACGACGGGCTACGCAGGTGCATCCCTCACGGCGGTGCCATAGTCCACTGTCCACGTCGTCTGCCCACTTCCACCAGAAAGCATGCATTATGCATACTCACTCATGTAATCCCTTCGATTCCTTCCCTTCAATTCCTTCCCTTCAATTCCTTCCCTTCAATTCCTTCCCTTCAATTCCTTCCCTTCAATTCCTTCCCTTCAATTCCTTCCCTTCGATTCCTTCCCTTCAATTCCTTCCCTTCAATTCCTTCCCTTCAATTCCTTCCCTTCGATTCCTTCCCTTCAATTCCTTCCCGTCAATTCCTTCCCGTCAATTCCTTCCCGTCAATTCCTTCCCTTCAATTCCTTCCCTTCAATTCCTTCCCTTCAATTCCCTTCGATTCCTTCCCTTCGATTCCTTCCCTTCGATTCCTTCCCTTCGATTCCTTCCCGTCGATTCCTTCCCTTCAATTCCTTCCCTTCAATTCCTTCCCTTCAATTCCTTCCCTTCAATTCCTTCCCTTCAATTCCTTCCCTTCAATTCCTTCCCTTCAATTCCTTCCCTTCAATTCCTTCCCTTCGATTCCTTCCCTTCAATTCCTTCCCTTGAATTCCTTCCCTTGAATTCCTTCCCTTCGATTCCTTCCCTTCAATTCCTTCCCGTCAATTCCTTCCCTTCAATTCCTTCCCGTCAATTCCTTCCCTTCAATTCCTTCCCTTCAATTCCTTCCCTTCAATTCCTTCCCGTCAATTCCTTCCCTTCAATTCCTTCCCGTCAATTCCTTCCCTTCAATTCCTTCCCTTCAATTCCTTCCCTTCAATTCCTTCCCTTCGATTCCTTCCCTTCAATTCCTTCCCGTCAATTCCTTCCCGTCAATTCCTTCCCGTCAATTCCTTCCCTTCAATTCCTTCCCTTCAATTCCCTTCGATTCCTTCCCTTCGATTCCTTCCCTTCGATTCCTTCCCGTCGATTCCTTCCCGTCGATTCCTTCCCTTCAATTCCTTCCCTTCAATTCCTTCCCTTCAATTCCTTCCCTTCAATTCCTTCCCTTCAATTCCTTCCCTTCAATTCCTTCCCTTCAATTCCTTCCCTTCGATTCCTTCCCTTGAATTCCTTCCCTTGAATTCCTTCCCTTGAATTCCTTCCCTTCGATTCCTTCCCTTCAATTCCTTCCCGTCAATTCCTTCCCTTCAATTCCTTCCCGTCAATTCCTTCCCTTCAATTCCTTCCCTTCAATTCCTTCCCTTCAATTCCTTCCCGTCAATTCCTTCCCTTCAATTCCTTCCCGTCAATTCCTTCCCTTCAATTCCTTCCCTTCAATTCCTTCCCTTCAATTCCTTCCCTTCAATTCCTTCCTTCAATTCCTTCCCTTCAATTCCTACCCTTCAATTCCTTCCCTTCGATTCCTTCCCTTCGATTCCTTCCCGTCAATTCCTTCCCTTCGATTCCTTCCCTTCAATTCCTTCCCTTCAATTCCTTCCCTTGAATTCCTTCCCTTCGATTCCTTCCCTTCAATTCCTTCCCTTCAATTCCTTCCCTTCAATTCCTTCCCTTCAATTCCTTCCCTTCAATTCCTTCCCTTCAATTCCTTCCCTTCAATTCCTTCCCTTCAATTCCTTCCCTTCAATTCCTTCCCTTCAATTCCCTTCGATTCCTTCCCTTCGATTCCTTCCCTTCGATTCCTTCCCTTCGATTCCTTCCCGTCGATTCCTTCCCTTCAATTCCTTCCCTTCAATTCCTTCCCTTCAATTCCTTCCCTTCAATTCCTTCCCTTCAATTCCTTCCCTTCAATTCCTTCCCTTCAATTCCTTCCCTTCAATTCCTTCCCTTCAATTCCTTCCCTTCAATTCCTTCCCTTCGATTCCTTCCCTTCAATTCCTTCCCTTGAATTCCTTCCCTTGAATTCCTTCCCTTCGATTCCTTCCCTTCAATTCTTTCCCGTCAATTCCTTCCCTTCAATTCCTTCCCGTCAATTCCTTCCCTTCAATTCCTTCCCTTCAATTCCTTCCCTTCAATTCCATCCCGTCAATTCCTTCCCTTCAATTCCTTCCCGTCAATTCCTTCCCTTCAATTCCTTCCCTTCAATTCCTTCCCTTCAATTCCTTCCCTTCGATTCCTTCCCTTCAATTCCTTCCCGTCAATTCCTTCCCGTCAATTCCTTCCCGTCAATTCCTTCCCTTCAATTCCTTCCCTTCAATTCCTTCCCTTCAATTCCCTTCGATTCCTTCCCTTCGATTCCTTCCCTTCGATTCCTTCCCGTCGATTCCTTCCCGTCGATTCCTTCCCTTCAATTCCTTCCCTTCAATTCCTTCCCTTCAATTCCTTCCCTTCAATTCCTTCCCTTCAATTCCTTCCCTTCAATTCCTTCCCTTCAATTCTTTCCCTTCAATTCCTTCCCTTCGATTCCTTCCCTTGAATTCCTTCCCTTCAATTCCTTCCCTTCAATTCCTTCCCTTCGATTCCTTCCCTTCAATTCCTTCCCGTCAATTCCTTCCCTTCAATTCCTTCCCGTCAATTCCTTCCCTTCAATTCCTTCCCTTCAATTCCTTCCCTTCAATTCCTTCCCGTCAATTCCTTCCCTTCAATTCCTTCCCGTCAATTCCTTCCCTTCAATTCCTTCCCTTCAATTCCTTCCCTTCAATTCCTTCCCTTCAATTCCTACCCTTCAATTCCTTCCCTTCGATTCCTTCCCTTCGATTCCTTCCCGTCAATTCCTTCCCTTCGATTCCTTCCCTTCAATTCCTTCCCTTCAATTCCTTCCCTTCAATTCCTTCCCTTCGATTCCTTCCCTTCAATTCCTTCCCTTCAATTCCTTCCCTTCAATTCCTTCTCTTCAATTCCTTCCCTTCAATTCCTTCCCTTCAATTCCTTCCCTTCAATTCCTTCCCTTCAATTCCTTCCCTTCAATTCCTTCCCTTCAATTCCTTCCCTTCAATTCCTTCCCTTCAATTCCTTCCCTTCAATTCCTTCCCTTCAATTCCTTCCCTTCAATTCCTTCCCTTCAATTCCTTCCCTTCAATTCCTTCCCTTCAATTCCTTCCCTTCGATTCCTTCCCTTCGATTCCTTCCCTTCGATTCCTTCCCTTCAATTCCTTCCCTTGCATTCCTTCCCTTGAATTCCTTCCCTTCGATTCCTTCCCTTCAATTCCTTCCCTTCAATTCCTTCCCGTCAATTCCTTCCCTTCAATTCCTTCCCTTCAATTCCTTCCCTTCAATTCCTTCCCTTCAATTCCTTCCCGTCAATTCCTTCCCTTCAATTCCTTCCCGTCAATTCCTTCCCTTCAATTCCTTCCCTTCAATTCCTTCCCTTCAATTCCTTCCCTTCAATTCCTTCCCTTCAATTCCTTCCCTTCAATTCCTACCCTTCAATTCCTTCCCTTCGATTCCTTCCCTTCGATTCCTTCCCGTCAATTCCTTCCCTTCGATTCCTTCCCTTCAATTCCTTCCCTTCAATTCCTTCCCTTCAATTCCTTCCCTTCAATTCCTTCCCTTCAATTCCTTCCCTTCAATTCCTTCCCTTCAATTCCTTCCCTTCAATTCCTTCCCTTCAATTCCTTCCCTTCAATTCCTTCCCTTCAATTCCTTCCCTTCAATTCCTTCCCTTCAATTCCTTCCCTTCAATTCCTTCCCTTCAATTCCTTCCCTTCAATTCCTTCCCTTCAATTCCTTCCCTTCAATTCCTTCCCTTCAATTCCTTCCCTTCAATTCCTTCCCTTCAATTCCTTCCCTTCAATTCCTTCCCTTCAATTCCTTCCCTTCAATTCCTTCCCTTCAATTCCTTCCCTTCAATTCCTTCCCTTCGATTCCTTCCCTTGAATTCCTTCCCTTGAATTCCTTCCCTTCGATTCCTTCCCTTCAATTCCCTTCGATTCCTTCCCTTCGATTCCTTCCCTTCGATTCCTTCCCTTCGATTCCTTCCCGTCGATTCCTTCCCTTCAATTCCTTCCCTTCAATTCCTTCCCTTCAATTCCTTCCCTTCAATTCCTTCCCTTCGATTCCTTCCCTTCGATTCCTTCCCTTCGATTCCTTCCCGTCGATTCCTTCCCTTCAATTCCTTCCCTTCAATTCCTTCCCTTCAATTCCTTCCCTTCAATTCCTTCCCTTCAATTCCTTCCCTTCAATTCCTTCCCTTCGATTCCTTCCCTTCAATTCCTTCCCTTGAATTCCTTCCCTTGAATTCCTTCCCTTCGATTCCTTCCCTTCAATTCCTTCCCGTCAATTCCTTCCCTTCAATTCCTTCCCGTCAATTCCTTCCCTTCAATTCCTTCCCTTCAATTCCTTCCCTTCAATTCCTTCCCGTCAATTCCTTCCCTTCAATTCCTTCCCGTCAATTCCTTCCCTTCAATTCCTTCCCTTCAATTCCTTCCCTTCAATTCCTTCCCTTCAATTCCTTCCCTTCAATTCCTTCCCTTCAATTCCTACCCTTCAATTCCTTCCCTTCGATTCCTTCCCTTCGATTCCTTCCCGTCAATTCCTTCCCTTCGATTCCTTCCCTTCAATTCCTTCCCTTCGATTCCTTCCCTTGCATTCCTTCCCTTGAATTCCTTCCCTTCGATTCCTTCCCTTCAATTCCTTCCCGTCAATTCCTTCCCTTCAATTCCTTCCCGTCAATTCCTTCCCTTCAATTCCTTCCCTTCAATTCCTTCCCTTCAATTCCTTCCCTTCAATTCCTTCCCTTCAATTCCTTCCCTTCAATTCCTTCCCTTCGATTCCTTCCCTTCGATTCCTTCCCTTCCATTCCTTCCCTTCGATTCCTTCCCTTCAATTCCTTCCCTTCAATTCCTTCCCTTCAATTCCTTCCCTTCAATTCCTTCCCTTCAATTCCTTCCCTTCAATTCCTTCCCTTCAATTCCTTCCCTTCAATTCCTTCCCTTCAATTCCTTCCCTTCAATTCCTTCCCTTCAATTCCTTCCCTTCAATTCCTTCCCTTCAATTCCTTCCCTTCAATTCCTTCCCTTCAATTCCTTCCCTTCAATTCCTTCCCTTCAATTCCTTCCCTTCAATTCCTTCCCTTCAATTCCTTCCCTTCAATTCCTTCCCTTCAATTCCTTCCCTTCAATTTCTTCCCTTCAATTCCTTCCCTTCCCTCTCAGACCAGGTGACTGCAAGAGCTGCTTCAACATGAGTCTGGAGGCCAACCGCTGGAAGGGCAGCTGCCGCGGAGTGCTAACCATCATTACCCTGGACAGCCGCGGGCAGCTGCGCTGGACTTGACAACACTCATCTCTCCCCTCCCTCCCAGGTGGCTGCAAGAGCTGCTTCAACATGACTCTGGAGGCCAACCGCTGGAAGGGCAGCTGCCGCGGAGTGCTAACCATCATTACCCTGGACAGCCGCGGGCAGCTGCGCTGGACTTGACAACACTCATCTCTCCCCTCCCTCCCAGGTGACTGCAAGAGCTGCTTCAACATGACTCTGGAGGCCAACCGCTGGGAGGGCAGCTGCCGCGGAGTGCTAACCATCATTACCCTGGACAGCCGCGGGCAGCTGCGCTGGACTTGACAACACTCATCTCTCCCCTCCCTCCCAGGTGACTGCAAGAGCTGCTTCAACATGACTCTGGAGGCCAACCGCTGGGAGGGCAGCTGCCGCGGAGTGCTAACCATCATTACCCTGGACAGCCGCGGGCAGCTGCGCTGGACTTGACAACACTCATCTCTCCCCTCCCTCCCAGGTGACTGCAAGAGCTGCTTCAACATGACTCTGGAGGCCAACCGCTGGGAGGGCAGCTGCCGCGGAGTGCTAACCATCATTACCCTGGACAGCCGCGGGCAGCTGCGCTGGACTTGACAACACTCATCTCTCCCCTCCCTCCCAGGTGACTGCAAGAGCTGCTTCAACATGACTCTGGAGGCCAACCGCTGGGAGGGCAGCTGCCGCGGAGTGCTAACCATCATTACCCTGGACAGCCGCGGGCAGCTGCGCTGGACTTGACAACACTCATCTCTCCCCTCCCTCCCAGGTGACTGCAAGAGCTGCTTCAACATGACTCTGGAGGCCAACCGCTGGGAGGGCAGCTGCCGCGGAGTGCTAACCATCATTACCCTGGACAGCCGCGGGCAGCTGCGCTGGACTTGACAACACTCATCTCTCCCCTCCCTCCCAGGTGACTGCAAGAGCTGCTTCAACATGACTCTGGAGGCCAACCGCTGGGAGGGCAGCTGCCGCGGAGTGCTAACCATCATTACCCTGGACAGCCGCGGGCAGCTGCGCTGGACTTGACAACACTCATCTCTCCCCTCCCTCCCAGGTGACTGCAAGAGCTGCTTCAACATGACTCTGGAGGCCAACCGCTGGGAGGGCAGCTGCCGCGGAGTGCTAACCATCATTACCCTGGACAGCCGCGGGCAGCTGCGCTGGACTTGACAACACTCATCTCTCCCCTCCCTCCCAGGTGACTGCAAGAGCTGCTTCAACATGACTCTGGAGGCCAACCGCTGGGAGGGCAGCTGCCGCGGAGTGCTAACCATCATTACCCTGGACAGCCGCGGGCAGCTGCGCTGGACTTGACAACACTCATCTCTCCCCTCCCTCCCAGGTGACTGCAAGAGCTGCTTCAACATGACTCTGGAGGCCAACCGCTGGGAGGTCAGCTACCAGGGAGCACTCAGGCAGAGGACTGGGCAGTCACGCTGACGACACTCACGCACTCCCCTCCATCCCCCAACCCAGGTGATTGCAAGAGCTGCTTCAACAGGACCCTGGAAGTCAACCGCTGGAAGGGCAGCTACCGGGGAGCCCTGAGGCAGAGGAACGGGCACTCACTCACACTGACACGCACTCCCCTCCCCTTTCCCCCCAGGCGACTGCAAGAGTTGTTTCAACATGACTCTTGAAGGTAACCGCCGGAAGGTCAGCTACCGGGGAGCACTCATTACAAAAGATGTGGTTTCCATCCAGAAGGGAGTCACTCAGGCTCCCTCTCACACATGCTCTCCTTTTCCCCCCTTTCCCTCCCCCCCTCCCGATTTCCCCCTCCAGGTGGCTGCAAGAGCTGTTTCAACATGACTCTGGAGGCCAACCGCTGGAAGGTCAGCTACCTACTGGGGAGCGCTCACCATCGGAAGGTCAGCTACCGGGGAGCGCTGAGGCAGAGGAACGGGCACTCACACTGACACACACTCTCTCTCCTCCCCATCCCTCCCCAGGTGACTGCAAGAGCTGCTTCAACATGACTCTGGAGGCCAACCGCTGGAAGGTCAGCTACCGGGGAGCGCTCACCATCAAAGACGTCATCTCCATCAAGAAAGGATCGCTCAGGCTAGGACTGGACGCGGGCCGAGGCACGGGCAGCTTCGCAGCGCACATGGCGCGATACAACGTGACAGTGATGACCATGGCGATGAACATTGAGACGCGCTCGGGGGTGCACACCGGGCTGCCATATATGGAGACCATTGCCCTACGGGGACTGGTCCCTCTGCACATTCCCCACACTGTAAGTTGACGGACCCTATTCTGCGTTCGGTGCGATGAAATCCGCCCAAAAGAGGCCTTTGAGGGTTGCTGGCAGTTCTCGCGGCGCACATGGCGGGATGCAACGTGACGGTGATGACCATGGCGATGAACATTGAGACGCGCTCGAGGGTGCATACCGGGTTGCCCTATATGGAGACTATTGCGCTACGGGGCCTGGTACCTCTGCACATCCCTCACACTGTAAGTGAAAACAATCTAGGCCCCGTTCGGTGCATTGAAATTGGCCCAGGAAAGGCTTGAGGGGCGCAGGAAAGGCTTGAGGGGCGCAGGAAAGGCTTGAGGGGCGCAGGAAACGCTGGAGGGGCGCAGGAAAGGCTTGAGGGTGCAGCGCAGGAAAGGCTTGAGGGTGCAGCGCAGGAAAGGCTTGAGGGTGCAGCGCAGGAAAGGCTTGAGGGCGCAGCGCAGGAAAGGCTTGAGGGTGCAGCGCAGGAAAGGCTTGAGGGTGCAGCGCAGGAAAGGCTTGAGGGCGCAGCGCAGGAAAGGCTTGAGGGTGCAGCGCAGGAAAGGCTTGAGGGTGCAGCGCAGGAAAGGCTTGAGGGTGCAGCGCAGGAAAGGCTTGAGGGTGCAGCGCAGGAAAGGCTTGAGGGTGCAGCGCAGGAAAGGCTTGAGGGTGCAGCGCAGGAAAGGCTTGAGGGTGCAGCGCAGGAAAGGCTTGAGGGTGCAGCGCAGGAAAGGCTTGAGGGTGCAGCGCAGGAAAGGCGCTATCCCCGACTCTCAGGGTTTGCAGCGCACATGGCGCGATACAACGTGACGGTGGTGACCATAGCGATGAACATTGAGACTCGGGCGGGGGTGCACACTGGGCTTCCTTATATGGAGACTATCGCACTGAGTCGACTGGTCCCTCTGCACATCCCCCACACTGTAAGGCCCTACTCCTCGTTTGGTGCGTTGAAATCCGCCCAAAAGAGGCCTTTGAGGGGTGCTGGCAGTTCTCGCGGCGCAGATGGCGCGATTCAATAACGTGATACAGAAAGCGACCATCGCTGTAGGAACAACGTGGTACAGAAAGTATCTCATCAAGATAAAACCGGTGTGCAGTGAGTCTGCTTTTGAGTCAACTCAAAAGCGACCATCGCTCTGAGGGGTCCGGTTCCGTGAGGACCCCCAGTGCACACGGCGTTAGCAGCAGCGCCAAGTGCCTTTGAGTGGACGCAGAAAGTATCTCATCAATATAAAACCCATGTGTAGTGAGATTAGCGATGATCGCAGTGTAGTGAGTCTGATTTTGCTTTTGCGTCGACTCAAAAACCGCGTGTAGTGAGTCTGATTTTGAGTCGACTCAAAAGCAGCCATGGCTCTGAGAGGTGCTTGAGCACCTCTTGCACTGCATCAGCTGCAGTGTCACGTGCCTTTGAGTGGAGGCAAGAAGCCTCTCATCAATGTAATTCCGCGTGTAATGGGTCGGCTGTTGAGTTGACACAAAAGCGGCCATGGCTCTCTGAGGGGTCTGGTCCCTTGAGGACCTCTTGCACAGCGTCAGAAGCAGCATCACGTTCCTTCCTCTGGGGGCAGGCGCGCCCCTACCCTTCCTGTGACAACACACTAGACCCCAGGCTCTAAATGTCAAGCACCTTTCTCTGAAGGCTCTCACAACATTGAGCTTTGCTCGTTTTCTCCTCTGCACATCTGCATGTGTTTCCCCTCTCCGGCGCGCCTGCCCTTCTTTGACAACACCCTAGACTTGGTGCACTGCGTCAGCAGCATCATGTACCTTCCTCTGGGGGCTCTCACAACATTGGGCTTTGCTCGGTCTCCCCTCTGCACCTCTGCGTGTGTTTTCTTTTGAGTCGACCCAAAAGTCACCCCGTGCTCTAAGTGTCAAGTACCTTTCTTTGGGGGCTCTCACAACATTGAGCTTTGCTCGTTTTCTCCCCTGCACATCTGCATGTGTTTCCCCTCTACATGCTCGTCAGCCCTTCTTTGACAACACCCTAGAGTTGGTGCACTGTGTCAAATACCTTCCTCGTATAAAAGGGGTGTGTCAACACCCTGGATTTCCAGGCTGTCAAATACCTCTCCCTCTCCCCCACCCACCCCTTCTTTTGGATCTGCTACAGGCTCGTCTGCCTTTCTTTGACAACACTCTCGACCTGGTGCACTGCGTCAACAGCGTCAAGTACCTTCCACTTGAGGGGCGTTTACCTGTGCCTTTTCTCTACTCTGCAACCCTGCATGCGCCCCCCGACTCCTCGCAGGCTCGTCTGCCCTTCTTTGACAACACTCTGGACCTGGTGCACTGCGTCAACAGCGTCAAGTACCTTCCTCTAGGGGAGTTTGAGGATCTGCTCTACGAATGGGACCGCGTGCTGCGAGTCGGTGAGTTCTTTAAAGTGTTTGACGTGTTTATAAGCACGTGGAGTGTGTTTGTTTTGTGGTACCCCAACAGCGTCAAGTACCTTCCTCTCGGGGAGTTTGAGGATCTGCTCTACGAGTGGGACCGCATGCTGCGAGTCGATGAGTCATTAATGCGGTTTTTTTTAGACATTTAAAAGTGTTTTTTAGGCACCCAAGACAAGTACCTCTGGGGAAGTTTTAGGATCTGCTGTACGAGTGGGACCGCGTGCTGCGAGTTGGTGAGTTCTTTGAAGGGTCTTGTTCTGGTACTTGGAGTATGTTTTAGGCGCCTCAAAAGACGACGTGCAAGTACCTTCCTGTTGGGGAGTTTGAGGATCTGCTCTATGAATCGGACCGCGTGCTGCGAGTTGGTGAGTGGGAGTGTTGGTGTTCGTTTCAGTTAGGCTTTCGATGTAGGGGCGAGGCACTATTACCCTCCTTTTGAGTCGACTCAAAAGGGAGTGTTGGTGTTCGTTTCAGTTAGGCTTTCGGTGTAGGGGAGAGGCACAATTACCTTCCTCTAAGGGAGTTGGAGGACCTGCTCTGTGAGACCGTGTGCAGTGGAGTCATTTTTTAGAATTCTCAAAAGTGTGCTGGATGGGACTGCGTGCAGCGAGTTGGTGAGTGGGAGTGTTGGTGGTCGTTTCAGTTAGGCCTTCAGTGTAGGGGAGAGCCATCTCAAACCAAGTACCTTCTTCTGAGGGAGTTGGAGGGTCTGCTCTGTGAGACCGTGTGCTGAGAGGGACCGCGTGCTGCGAGTTGGTGAGTGGGAGTGTTGGTGGTCGTTTCAGTTAGGCCTTCAGTGTAGGGGAGAGCCATCTCAAACCAAGTACCTTCTTCTGAGGGAGTTGGAGGGTCTGCTCTGTGAGACCGTGTGCTGAGAGGGACCGCGTGCTGCGAGTTGGTGAGTGGGAGTGTTGGTGGTCGTTTCAGTTAGGCCTTCAGTGTAGGGGAGAGCCATCTCAAACCAAGTACCTTCTTCTGAGGGAGTTGGAGGGTCTGCTCTGTGAGACCGTGTGCTGAGAGGGACCGCGTGCTGCGAGTTGGTGAGTGGGAGTGTTGGTGGTCGTTTCAGTTAGGCCTTCAGTGTAGGGGAGAGCCATCTCAAACCAAGTACCTTCTTCTGAGGGAGTTGGAGGGTCTGCTCTGTGAGACCGTGTGCTGAGAGGGACCGCGTGCTGCGAGTTGGTGAGTGGGAGTGTTGGTGGTCGTTTCAGTTAGGCCTTCAGTGTAGGGGAGAGCCATCTCAAACCAAGTACCTTCTTCTGAGGGAGTTGGAGGGTCTGCTCTGTGAGACCGTGTGCTGAGAGGGACCGCGTGCTGCGAGTTGGTGAGTGGGAGTGTTGGTGGTCGTTTCAGTTAGGCCTTCAGTGTAGGGGAGAGCCATCTCAAACCAAGTACCTTCTTCTGAGGGAGTTGGAGGGTCTGCTCTGTGAGACCGTGTGCTGAGAGGGACCGCGTGCTGCGAGTTGGTGAGTGGGAGTGTTGGTGGTCGTTTCAGTTAGGCCTTCAGTGTAGGGGAGAGCCATCTCAAACCAAGTACCTTCTTCTGAGGGAGTTGGAGGGTCTGCTCTGTGAGACCGTGTGCTGAGAGGGACCGCGTGCTGCGAGTTGGTGAGTGGGAGTGTTGGTGGTCGTTTCAGTTAGGCCTTCAGTGTAGGGGAGAGCCATCTCAAACCAAGTACCTTCTTCTGAGGGAGTTGGAGGGTCTGCTCTGTGAGACCGTGTGCTGAGAGGGACCGCGTGCTGCGAGTTGGTGAGTGGGAGTGTTGGTGGTCGTTTCAGTTAGGCCTTCAGTGTAGGGGAGAGCCATCTCAAACCAAGTACCTTCTTCTGAGGGAGTTGGAGGGTCTGCTCTGTGAGACCGTGTGCTGAGAGGGACCGCGTGCAGCGAGTTGGTGAGTGGGAGTGTTGGTGCTCGTTTCAGTTAGGCTTTTGGTGTAGGGGAGTGGCACGTCAAACAAAGTACCCTACCCTTGGGGGGTTTGAGCACCTGCTGTACGGGTGGGACTGTGTGCTGCGAGTCGATGAGTTTGACTTCGTGTTTTGTGTAGACATCGTTTAGAGATCTGAAGTGCTTCGTAGGCACCCATAGGCAAGTATCTTCCTCTGGGCGAGTTTGAGGATCTTCTGTACAGATGAGACCAAGTGCTGCGAGTCGGTGAGTTGTTGTGAGGGTTTTTTATTAGACAGGTGACTTTTGAGTCGACTCAAAAGTCAGTCGGATGAATCCTTGTAAGCGTTTTTTAGTAGAAAGGTGACACTTGATTCGAATCAAAAGTCAGTCGGTCGGTGAGTCCTTGTAAGCGTTTTTTGGTAGAAACTCTGGGCGAGTTTGAGGATCTTCTGAAACTCTGTGTGATGGCTAGTCGGTGCTTCTACTACCCGCTTCCTCGAATGGCGATGACTGCCACTTTCCTCTCGCCGAGATTGAGGATCTGCCGCGAGTCGGTGAGTCCTACATTGTTTTTGGCGGTTGCATTGAAAGATTGAACTGAAGCAAACAAGATTAATGCATTTGGTGTCTTCGTTGTTTGTTAAGCTTCCTCTTCCTCTTCCTCTTCCTCTCTTCCTAAGGTGCTTCTGTTCTCTTTTTCGCTTTGAACAATGACCCTTTATTTCATGTTTGTCTTTCTTGTCCTGTACCCAAACACTCAATACACGGTCTGTGCGCAGGCGGCGTCTTGTGGTTTGAGCTTTTCTACGCTCCGGAGGATGAGATGAAGATATACATTCAGATTGTGGATCTTCTACAGTACAACAAGCTCTATTGGAATATCACTTCTAAGCCCGAGAAGGACCCAAAAGCAGTTCAGCGCGTGTACCTCAACTGTCTTCTGGAGAAGCCGCCTCGCATCGATTAGCGGGTGGAGCACATTTTCCGGCTTCACGTTAGCGGGTGGAGCACGTTGTGTTGATGGATGGACCATGTACAGTTGACCAAATGGGTTGGTGAAGGCGCTTATAGCTTTGTGATCGGTTGCATTTGTTTTAGTAAGACACCAGTATGAGCTATGCTAGGGTGGTTGTTGCAGTAAGGGTGGTCGGTCGGGTCGTATGCCAGTTTGATGCCTGGTTTTATCGCAAAATCTATGTTCCGTGACCTTTAGGGCGTGCACATTGAGCAAGGAAATATTAGTTTGTAGCATTTTTTTTTTGTAAATGAGGGGTTGGAACAATGACTCCCTAACATCTCTTACCGTATTCTAGTCTAGTGGTTGTTGATATGGCACACTAGTGTAATAATGATAACCATTTTCAGTGTGTTGATAAGATTGTTCACTACCAGCATCGCGTGTTCTTGTATCACACTTTCAGAGCCAAATGCATCGCGCAAATATCGAGGGTCTTCCCGCCCTTCAAATTTGGCGCCAAAACGCGGACACCTCCTCCTGAGGACTTAGCGAGAACCTGGCACTTGTTGATCATTTTGAAATTGCTAAAAAAAAAACTCTCGGTCCGTCTCTTGCTCGACCAGCTCAGCAATATAGCGTTGCGATTTAACTTGTTCCGCGACCAGCTATAGCGCAGCGAGTTATCCCTCTGAGACCCGGCAGACAAAGCATCGAATCTCCTTAGATCGCGAGGCGCGATGGCTGCGTGTACCCAAGTGTCCCCGCTCTCCCTCTCCGCTAACTGGTCTGGTAACCGTTTCGCTGCTGGAAGTAACCACATCTGCGAAAATCGACGAACCGTCGCGAGCGGCCTGTCTGCTACGAGGGCCGCGGTAAGACATTCGGAAGTAAAGTCCGTTAGGATTATGAGCAGCTGAGCAGCTGAGCAGCTGAGCAGTTGAGCAGTGGAGCAGCGGAGCAGCGGAACAGCGGAGCAGTGGAGCAGTTGAGCAGCGGAGCAAATGTCCCACGCTCGACAGGTTTGAGCAGGCGGTCTCAAAAGTACACTTGTATCGCTACTAGGGCTGCGGCTAGACACTCGGAAGTAGACCCCATTAGGTTTATGAGCAGCTGAGCAGCTGGTCTACGCTTGACAGGTGGCCAAGTTTATTTCCCCTCTCAGCTCTTCACCCCTCCGCGAAATTCCTTGCCTCTGTCCCTGACTCCTTGCCTGCCCCATGACCTTTGAGTCGACTCAAGAGTCGACTCCTTGCCTGCCCCATGACCTTTGAGCCGAATCAAGAGTCGACTCCTTGCCTGCCCCACGACCTTTGAGCCGAATCAAGAGTCGACTCCTTGCCTGCCCCACGACCTTTGAGCCGAATCAAGAGTCGACTCCTTGCCTGCCCCACGACCTTTGAGCCGAATCAAGAGTCGACTCCTTGCCTGCCCCATGACCTTTGAGCCGAATCAAGAGTCGACTCCTTGAATGGCCCATGCCCCATGGCATTCGCTCTTGCTTCCTTTCCTGCTCCCCTCAAATCTCCCCTTTGCGAAGGACAGGGGGAGTCTCGGAGAGCCGGCTCGAGGAACGCCGTTGTCCCAGATCCTTGCCCGTCCCTCCTCCTTCTGGCCCCATGGGCCATGGCATTCTCTCTTGCATCCTGCTCCTCTCAATTCTCCCCTTTGTGTGGGAGGAGTTTCGGAGAGCCAGCTCGAGGAATGTCAGGAGCAGGCTGGTTTGAGGAACGCCTTGGTGAACGACGACTTGAGGAACGCCTTGAGGAACGCCTGAGGAACGCCTTGAGGAACGCCTTGAGGAACGCCTTGAGGAACGCCTTGAGGAACGCCTTGAGGAACGCCTTGAGGAACGCCTTGGTCCCAGTTTCATTGCCATCCCTCCCCCTTCTGGCCCCATGGCGCTCGCTCTTGCTTCCTGCTCCACTCAAATTAGTTTTTGAGAATTCTAAACAACAAAACACATCCTGGCGTTCTCTCTTGCTTCCTGCTCCGCTCGATTCTCCCCTTTGTGTAGCAGAAGGAGTTTCGGAGAGCCGGCTCAAGGAATGTCAGGGTCGGGGTGGCGAAGCAGGTTCGGTGCGTGTCCGAGCCTAGAGTGGAGGCTCGGTCAGCTGACGAAGTGCTTGCGACTCAGCCGTCGTTTCTTCGCCACATCGCCGATCATGTGAGTCGGACACGGGGATTCTGCTGCAATGCGCATGAAAACGTCGCGGGCCATGTGAGTGGGACATGGGGATTCCTTGGATGCATGGCTTCTTTTGAGTCGACTCAAAAGTCACCTTTTTGAGAGGATGTGCTTGGATTGGATGCGGATCATCTCAAAAGGTGATGTGCTTGCATCTCAGCCGTCGGTTCCTCGCTGCATCACCGATCATGTGAGCCAGACATTGGGGATGTGTTTTAAGGCCCGTCATGAAAATATTGCCGAGTTTGAGACGCCTCAGTTCTCCCTGCAAACCCATTGCCCTCCTACCCTTCAAGGTACCCCATACCCTCCTCTCCCGCATCCCAGGGGTCTCCTTTGCCATTCACCCGCCACATCATCGACACCGCTCAGGTTAACATCAGCCTCTTCTGCAACCAGGCCAAACAACCCCTTGCCTACCTCCCCTGCGTTTTTCCGTTCCTGTCTCCCCTGACTCCCTTCCCCTCCCCTCCCTCAACCCAGGGCGGTCCTCTGCCGTTCACCCGCCACATCTTCGTTACCGCTCAGGTCATCAGCTGCTTTTGAGTCGACTGAAAAGCACGCTCAGGTCATCATCTGCTTTTGAGTCGACTGAAAAGCACGCTCAGGTCATCATCTGCTTTTGAGTCGACTCACACGCTCAGGTCATCATCAGCCTCTACTGCAACGCGGCCAAACAACCCCTTGCCTGTTTTGTCCCCTCCCTCACTCCCTCCCTGTCTCCCTGTCTCCCCTGTCTCCCTGTCTCCCCTCTCCTCCGTTATTTCAGGGTTCTCCTCTGCCATTCACCTGCCACATCATCGACACAGTCCAGTCCAGGTCAACATAGGCCTCTACTGCAACCAGGCGTGCCCATCCCTTGCCTACCTCCCTCCCTGCCTCGCTCCATGTCCCCCGCCCTTCCCTCCCTTACCCCAGGGCGCCCCTCTGCCATTCACCCGCCGCGTCATCGACACGGTCCAGGTCAACATAGGCCTCTACTGCAACCAGGCGTGCCAGCACTGCCACGTGGACTCGTCCCCTCTGAGAACAGAGATGATGGACCACAGGACAGCAGAGAGAGTGGTAAGCACACTCTAAACCCAAACCCCAAACCCCGAACCCTAAGGCCTTAAGCCTTCAACCAGCCAGCACTGCCATGTGGACTCATCCCCTTTGAGAACAGAGATGATGGACCACAGGGCGGCAGAGAGGGTGGTGAGTGTTGGTGTCTCCTTTCCCTCCTTGGCCTCCCCCTCCTTAGCCCCTCCCTGTTGCTGCCTTCCAGCACCATCACGTGAGAACAGGGTTGACCCCTTCTCAGCTGTTCTCCCCTGAGGACAGAGATGATGGTCCACAGGACAGCCGAGAGAGTGGTGAGTGCACTTTTCCAAACCCTGAACCCCAAAACCGAAACCCTAGAGCATAGCAGTCAAAACAGCCCAGCACTGCCATGTGGACTCGTCCCCTTTGAGAACAGAGATGATGGACTACCGGGCGGCGGAGAGGGTGGTGAGAACACCCCAGACCCTAAATCCTGAATCCTAAGCCCTAAGCATCTAAGCCTTCAACCATCCAGCACTGCCACGTGGACTCCTCTCCTTGGACGGAGATGTTGGACCACAGGACGGCAGAGAGGGAGGTGAGTGCTGGATTACCCCTTCCAACCTTCAAGCCCTATACCCTAAGCTTCAAGCCTTCAATGTGCGCACTGCCCCATGGACCTGTCCCCCCTGAAAACAGAGATGGTGGGCCGCAGGACGTTGGAGAGAGTGGCGAGAACACCCTGCAAACATGCAGCACTGCCTGCCACGTGAACAGCCTTCAAGCCCTAAGCCCTAAGCTTTAAGCCTCAATGTACACACTGCCCGTAGACTCGTCCCCTCTTAGAACACCAAAAACCAAAACCAAAAAACCCTGAAAATCCAGAACCTAAGCCTTAAACCATCCAGCACTGCCCCGTGGACTCGTCCCCACTGAGAACAGAGATGGTGGGCCGCAGGATGGCAGATAGGGTGGTGAGAACACCTTGAACCCAAAGCCCCTATTCAATCCTAAGACCCGAAGCCCTAGTTCAACAAGTCAGCACTGCCCCGTGGACTCGTCCCCACTGAGGACAGAGATGATGGGCCACAGGACGGCAGAGAGAGTGGTAATCGCACTCTCCGACCCTTACACACTGAACTATGAACCTAATGCTCGATACCCTACATCTGATGGGTGCTGCTTCTACTGCTGCCCTCCCCACTACTGCCCTCCCTCCCCACCACTTTCCGGCTCTCCCTTGTCTCTCGTTTACTCCCCTCAGGTGGATCTAATCCACCGGGCCCATGGCTCATCGTGTTAGCCTAATATCCCCACTGCTGCCCTCCTCCCTCTTGTCTCCTTCTCGTTCACCCCCCACCCCTCCCCTCCCCCCCCCCCCCGCTCCCCCGTTTTCAGGTGGATCTGATAGCAGCCTGCCCCACTGTGCGCTGTGTTGACCTTACAGGAGGGGCACCTGAGCTCAACCCTGAGTTCAGGTGAGAACAACAGAGGCGCTCCTGTCAGGTTGTTTTTTAAGGTGGAGCGATCTTGTCAGCTTAGAATGATGCCAGAAGTGGGGCGAATAACCTGGCAAGTTGCGTTGTATCTCCGCAATTTCACCGCATCAGCAGGTTTCACTACATCTCACCACCCCACCAAGTTTTTCGGTCACAGAGGCACGCGGGATAGGAAAGGAGGTGCCTTGCCACTGCCATCTTGGTTCCTCACACTGCCCGGCCAGTACCAACTCACACCTTTTTCCACCGCAACACACCGCACCATACACCCTCGCAGGTACCTGGTCGCAGAGACGCATGGGATGGGCGAGGAGGTGACTTACCACTGCCACTCTTGATTCCTTGCAAGTACCTTCCAAACGTGTACCAATTGCCACCATTCTCCACCACACTAAACCTCACCATACCCTCAGAAATCTTGTCACAGAGGCGCGTAGGATTGGCAAGGAGGTGATTGACTAGTGCAATCTCGATTCACACCTTTTCCCACCGCAACACACCGCACTATACCTCACCTCACCTCACCTCACCATCACCCCAGATATCTTGTCACAGAGGCGCGTAGGATGGGCAAGGAGGTGATTGACCGGTGCAATCTGACTGTGCTGTTCGAGCCGGGCCAGGAGGTGAGGGATTTTTGGGGGTGGGGAGGAAACCGGGGGGGGCGGGGGGGGGGGGGGGGAGGGTATGAAATGAGTGTGTTATTATTGAGGCGCCTCAAAAATGGATGCCTTTGAAATGAGAGTGTTATTATTGAGGCGCCTAAAAAATGGATGCCTTTGAAATGAGAGTGTTATTATTGAGGCGCCTAAAAAATGGATGCCTTTGAAATGAGAGTGTTATTATTGAGGCGCCTAAAAAATGGATGCCTTTGAAATGAGAGTGTTATTATTGAGGCGCCTAAAAAATGGATGCCTTTGAAATGAGAGTGTTATTATTGAGGCGCCTCAAAAATGGATGCCTTTGAAATGAGAGTGTTATTATTGAGGCGCCTAAAAAATGGATGCCTTTGAAATGAGAGTGTTATTATTGAGGCGCCTCAAAAATGGATGCCTTTGAAATGAGAGTGTTATTATTGAGGCGCCTAAAAAATGGATGCCTTTGAAATGAGAGTGTTATTATTGAGGCCCCTCAAAAATGGATGCCTTTGAAATGAGAGTGTTATTATTGAGGCGCCTCAAAAATGGATGCCTTTGAAATGAGAGTGTTATTATTGAGGCGCCTCAAAAGTGGATGCCTTTGAAATGAGAGTGTTATTATTGAGGCACCTCAAAAATGGATGCCTTTGAAATGAGAGTGTTATTATATTATTTTTCGGGGGAAAGGAGCTGATTGACGGCTGCAATCTGACTGTGCTTTTCGAGCGGGGGGCAGAGATGAGGGTTTAGCTAGCTCCGAGGGTGAGGGGCAATTTCTTTTCATTGGGCAAGGATGTGATTGCTTGCGGCAATCTGGCTGTGCCATCCGAACCAACCAGGGCAGGAGCTTCCTGTGATCATTCCTTCCAGGGTGTGTGTGCCTGTGTGTGTGTAGGGGGAGAGAGGCGTGAATCGTCCCACGAGTTCTGATTACAATCAAAGGGGAGGGGTGAACCGAGAATGGTTGCTTGTGGCAATCCATGGGGAGGGGTGGATGGTTGCATGTGGCAATCCATGGGGAGGCGTGAATGGTTGCATGTGCATTGTGCCTCGAATCGTCACACGCGTTCTGGTTTTAGTCGATTCAAAGAAACGAGTTATGTGTTACCCATGTGTCACCCATGTGTCGCCCATGTGTCACCCATGTGTCGCCCATGTGTCGCCCATGTGTCGTGCATGCGTTAGTCACCCATGTGTTACCCATGTGTTGCCCATGTGTCGCCCATGTGTCACCCATGTGTCACCCATGTGTTGCCCATGTGTCGCCCATGTGTCGCCTATTTGCTGCTGCGCGTGCAGGATCTTGGCGAGTTTCTTGCGGCCAATCAAGTGCATGTCGTAGCATCGCTGCCGTGCTACTCTGCTGACAACGTCAACAAGCAGGTACAACCCCGCTGGCCACCCTTCAGTCGTGGTGATGCTTCTAAGGTAGGGGGTTGCGAGGGTGTGAGGTATGAGGGGACAACCAGGTGCACATGGCAGTGTCGCTGCCAGGCTACTCGGCTGACAATGTAACAAGCAGGTACAACCCCGTTGACCACCCTTCAGTCGTTGTGATGCTTCTAAGGTAGGGGGTTGCGAGGGTGTGAGGTTTGAGGGGACAACCAGGTGCACGTGGCAGTGTCGCTGCCAGGCTACTCGGCTGACAATGTAACAAGCAGGTACAACCCCGTTGACCACCCTTCAGTCGTTGTGATGCTTCTAAGGTAGGGGGTTGCGAGGGTGTGAGGTTTGAGGGGACAACCAGGTGCACGTGGCAGTGTCGCTGCCAGGCTACTCGGCTGACAATGTAACAAGCAGGTATATCCCCGTTGGCCACTCAAGCTGGTAACAAGCAGGTGTGCTCTCCCTCGGGCACTCGAGCCGTGCCCCGGGCAGGTACGGCTGGGGTGCCCCGTACCCGAAGGAGCTCCTTCAGGTAGACGTTTTTTAGTCGAGTTAAAAAAATGGGGGGGGGTATGGGGTGTTTGTCAGGGGACAGGGGAGGGGGGGGCGTCAGGGGATGAGGGGGTATCAGGGGATGAGGGGATGAGGGGATGAGGGGATGAGGGGGAAAGCTGTTTCCTTAATCCCCTTGATCCCAATCCGCCCATCCCCATCTCGCGCATCCCCCTCCCCCCCCTCCCCTCACCCCCCATTCCCTTCGTCCGCATTCCCTCCCCTCTCCACCCATACCCACTTCCAGGTGTATTTTGAGTCGACTCAAAATACACCTCTCCACCCATACCCGCTTCCCCATTGCGCATCTACGGGGGTACCAGAGAGGAGGGGTGTTCGACGTAGCAGCACCAAGGCGCTTCAGCTGCTCCGCTCTGTTCGAGATCAGAGGGGAGGCGGGGTGTTCGACCTCCGCTCCGCACCAAGGCCCTTCCCCCCGCTTCCCCATTCACATTTCCTCTTTCCCCTATCCGCCCATCTGCCTGTCTGAGGGTACCAGAGGGGAGGAGGGGTGTTTGAACTTAGCATCAAGGCGCTTCAGCGGCTCTCCCCATGCCCACACCCTCCCCTCTCCCCTGCTCCCTCCACCTCACCTATCCCCATTTCCCCCCATCCGCTCATACCTGTCTGTCTGTGGGAATACCAGAGGGGGGGAGGGGTTCTCGACCTTAGCATCAAGGCGCTTCAGCTGCTCTCACTTCCCCCCACTTCCCCAATCACATTTTCTTTCCCCTATCCGCCCATCTGCTTGTCTCTGGGGGTACCAGAGGGGAGGAGGGGTGTTCGACCTTAGCATCAAGGCGCTTCAGCGGCTAAACAGCCTGGGGTGAGTGCGGTGCAGGGGTGTAAGAAGGGGGTGCATTGCGGTGCAGCTTGAGGCTATGTGCGCTGGCTTTCACCTCAGCAGCAAGGTGCTTCAGATGGTAAACTGTCTGGGGTAAGGTGTAGTGAAATGAGGTGCAGTACGGTACTGTCGGGTGCATTTGTGTTAAGGCTGTGAGTGTGCTGACTAATAGTCTGTGGGCACAGCATCAAGCCGCCTCAGCTGCTAGACAGCCTGGGGTAAATGAGGTGGAATGAGGTACAGTGCGGTACATTGCGATAGGGTGTGATTCTGCTGGAGAGTCCAGTGCAGTTTAAGACTGTGTGTGTTGGCTAACTGAAAGTCTTTGAGCTCTTTATCTGGCGATTCACTTGCCCAAAAGCTAGGGATGAGTGCGCTGCAATGAGGTGCAGTGCGGTTGGATGCGGTGGGCTGCAATATGCGTGCTCAACAGCACAGGCCGAGTGTGGTGAAATGCGGTGAAGTGCGGTGGAATGTGGTGGGGTGCAGTGGGATGTGGTGCTGTTGGGTGCAAACGAGTGCAAATTAGATATACAGTGGATTCAGTGGAGTGCACGGAGGCTCTCTCAAATCTAGGTCTTAATTAAAACATTATGTTTTTCCCTCCCCCTGTCCGCTGTTCCCTCCCCTAACCTCCTCCCTTCCCGTACCTGCCCCCTCCAGGTATGGCAAGGAAGGCTCGGGACTGGTGCTAGATCTGGTGTACAACCCTGTTGGCCCGTCCCTGCCCCCTGCTCAAGCGAAGCTGCAGGAGGCATACAAGGTGAGAAGGGGGGGTTGGTTGGATGACTGCAATCGGTGAGAATGAACGGCAAGAGTTGTGGGTAGGTACCAGCTCTCGTGCTACCTCTGGTGCGGCCTCTGGTGATAGGCTTGGTTGCAGCCCTGTTGGCCTATGTGAACTGAGACTGCTTCTAAGGAGCCTCAAAAGCATTCCTCCCCCCTGCTCAAGCCAATCTCGAGGAAGCATACAAGGTGAGATGGGCTTGGCAATGCACTGTTCTTTGAATGGAAGCACGAGACTGGTCATGTGTGTATGTGGTGATGAGTGTACTGCCATGTTGGCCCACCCCTCCCCCCTGCTCAAGCCAAACTGGAGGAAGCATACAAGGTGTGATGGGCATGGCAATGCATTGTATTTTGAATGGAAGTACGAGACTGGTCATGTATGAGGTAGGCTTGAGCATAAATCCAACCCGACCCTACCCGACCCGACTTTGCCCTACTGAATGCCGGGTTCGGGTCGGGTCGGGTCGGGTCAAGTTGAGTCGAAGTTCAGGAAATGTCAACCCGACCCGGGTTTAATAGGTCGGGTACTACTTGACCTGATTTCGGGTCGGGTCAGGTCGGGTTGGCATAGGGGCAGGGACGGGTAATCAGCGGACCCGAGGGGTCGGGTTTTGTCGGTCGGGTCGGGTCGGGTCGGGTCGGGTCGGGTCGGGTGAGGTCGGGTCAACCCTCCGCAAATGTCGACCCGACCCATCAAAAAGTCGGGTTCGGGTCGGGTTACCCGACCCGACCCAACCCGTCGCTCAAGCCTAGCATGAGGTGATGAGTGTACTGCCATGTTGGCCCATTCCTCCCCCCTGCTCAAGCCAAGCTGGAGGAAGTGAACAAGGTTGTGAGAGTAGGAGATAGTATAAGGTGATATGGATATACAGATAGTGAGGTGGATATTTCAGATGTTTTTGTATCTGTGTCACGTGTATTCTACCAGTCACCTACAGGCTAGAGTCTCGTGGAGTGAGCTAATTTCAAGATCTTGCCTCCTTCGACAGCGTTTTTCCTCCCTCCTTTCATCACAAGCCCTATCGCAAGCCCTGTCACAAGCCTTGTCACAAGCCCTGACACAAACCCTGTCACAAACCCTGACACAAACCCTGACACAAACCCTGTCACAAACCCTGTCACAAGCCTTGTCACAAGCCTTGTCACAAGCCTTGTCACAGCAGATCGGTTTCTTTTCTCGCCATCCCTACCTCTCAAAGCCAGCTCTTGAAATGCAGTTGCATATTGTTCACTGTTCATTGAGATGTGGCAGTCTGCCAGACACGGGTGAACTGCCGAGACGAGAGTGTTTCAGTTCTCATAATAAGAAGATATGGCAGTGAGTGAGTGAAAGGAGAGTGTTTCCTTCAACTTTCTCTGCTAAAAAGGGAATGTTTTTCTTTCATTAGCTGACTGCCTGTTAGGGCGAGCTCATGGCATGCCATGGCATATCGGTCAACAGCCATTTGTGACATTTGTGGCATGTCTGTACAGCATACCGAATTCGCACGTGCATCTTCTCCATCCTCCCATGCATTCTTTGCGTCGATCACCTTTTGAGTCGACTCAAAAGCATTCTTTGCGTCAATCACCCCTGCCTCCCAGAGCGAGCTCATGGCCTGCTATGGCATCTCGTTCAACAGTCTCTTCACCATCACCAACATGCCCGTCAAGAGGTAGGTTGGTTATGGGTGAGAGAGAGCATGCGCGTATGTGCACCTATGTACATGTGGTCCCTCTGTCTTATCTGTTTCTCTCAGAGCGAGCTCATGGCATGCTATGGCATATCCTTTAACAGTCTCTTCACCATCACCAACATGCCGGTCAAGAGGTGAGCTGGGGGTGAGCGCATGCACGTGTGTGTGATGGGAGTGAGCGCATGCATGTGTGTGTGTGCACCCTATGTCTTTATCTGGTCTCTCTGCCCTATATGCGTCATTTTTCAACAGTCTCTTCACCATCACTAACATGCCGGTCAAGAGATGGATTGAGCATTCTCTGCTGGTTTCATGCATGTGTGTGAGTGCATGTGTTTGAGTGCATGTGTGTCTATGCATGTATGTCTGTGCATGTGTGTCTACACATGTGTGTCTATGCATGTGTGCCTATGCATGTGTGTCTATGCATGTGTGCCTATGCATGTGTGTCCACGCATGGGTGCCTATGCATGTGTGTCAATGTGTGCTTCTACGCATATGTATCTATGCATGTGTGCCTTCGCATGTGTGTCTACGCATGTCTGTCTGTGCATATGCATGCGTGCCTGTGCATATTTCTAATGTGCAACGCGTTAGATCCTAAGCATAAACCCGAAACCCTGCCTTCTCTCATTACTTTGAATGCATTCTTCTTTTGACAGATTCGCATCGTTTTTGCACAGAGGAGGACAGCTCGAGAGCTACATGCAGCTGCTGGTAAGCTTTATAGAGAAGCTCCTTTACGGAGTACGTTTCTGTTTTTGCTGCAATTATTTCTGTTGGTATCTCCTTTCAATGAATTTGCTACTTTCCTTCGAAGATCAGCCCAGCTCGATTTTTGAGGCGCCTCAAAAATCCTTCAAAGATCAGCCCAGCTCGAGTGCTACATTGTACGACTGGCACATCCTTCCCCTCTCCACCTCTTCAGGTTAGTGCATTCAACCCTGCAGCAATGGGCAACGTGATGCGCCACCCTGTGTCTTGCCTTTTCTCCCCGTCTCTCCTCTCTCCTCTCTCCTCTCTGCTCTCTCATCTCTCCTCTCTCCTCTCTCCGCCCCACGCCTCCCTCCTCCTATCCTGCCCCTACTGCGTCTCACCTCACCCCCTCAGGTCAATGCGTTCAACCCAGCAGCAGTCGGCAACGTCATGTGCCACCCTGTGCCTTGCCTTTTCTCCTCCCTCCTTTCCTTATCCTGTCCTTGCGTGTCTCTCCGCACCCCCTCAGGTGAATGCGTTCAACCCAGCAGCAGTGAGCAGTGTGATGTGCCACTCTGTGCCTTGCTTTTTCTCACTATACCTCCCTCCTTTCATTCCCCTGTCCCTACGGTGTCTCTTCTCACCCCTCAGGTCAATGCGTTCAACCCAGCAGCAGTCGGCAACGTCATGTGTCAAAACCTTATCAACATCGACTGGTACGTTTATGTGGCTAGTAGGTGTGTGGCGAGTGAGTGTGTCTCTAGAGTGTGTGTAGCTAGGTGGCTGCTCCTTCTATGTCTGTGACAACGAAGTCATGTGTCGAAACCTTTTCAACATCGACTGGTACGTTTATGTGGCTAATGATGGGTGTGTGGCGAGTGTGTGTGATTCTCAGGCAAGGCGCTCTCTTTGACTGCGACTTCAACCAGCAGCTCAACGTCGGCCTCCCTCCCCAACCAACCACTGCTTCTGGCTCTCCCGCTTCCCCTCGATCTCCCCTTCTTCCGGCTCTCGCCTCTTCCCTTATCCCTGCTGATGTTCTCCCCTGTTGTCTTACACCCTCTCTCAGGCAGGGTGCTCTCTTTGACTGCGACTTCAACCAACAGCTCAACCTCAGTCGCCCTTCCCAACCATCCACTGCAACCGGCTCTCTTCCCTCCCTTCCCAACCATCCACTGCAACCGGCTCTCTTCCCTCCCTTCCCATCGCCTCTTCCCTTCTCCCCGTTGAGGTTTCTCTTCCCTTTCTCCCTATTTTTTGTACCCTTCCCAAGGCAAGGCGCTCTATTTGACTGTGACTTCAACCAGCAGCTGAACCTCAGCCTCCCTCCCAAAACAGCCACTGCTGCTGGCTCTGCCCCATCCCCTGCCCCCTCCACTCCTCACGTCCCATCACCTCCTCCCTTGTCTCCCCTGCTGTCTTATACTCTCTTTCAGGCAAGGCGCTCTCTTTGACTGCGACTTCAACCAGCAGTTGAATCTCGGCCTCCCTCCCAAACCAGCCACCACAGCCGGCTCTCCCTCTGCTCCTCCTCGCTCTGTGTTTGACATCGAATCTCTAGAAGAGCTTGTCAGCCGCCCCATTGCTACAGGAGCGCACTGCTACGGGTGAGTGGCTTGCGTACTGTAGCAGTGCGTCTTCGTAGCTCTCCCCCTCGCCTCCTCCTCACGCTTTGTTTGGCTTGGCGTCAAATCACCAGAGGAGCTTGTCAACCGAACCATCGCCACAGGAGTGCAATGCTACGGGTGAGTTTCTTGCGTACTGTAGCAAGCCGATATCGTGTCTTCAAAGCTCTCCCCCTCTCCTCCTCCTCACACTGTCTTTGGTGTCCAATCACTAGAGGAGCTTGCCGACCGTCCCATAGCCACAGCAGCACATTCCTGCAGGTGAGTTTCTTGCATACTGTGGCAAGCCTATACCTCTCCCCGTCTCCTCCTCCTCACACTGTATTTGGTGTCCAATCACCAGAGGAGGTTGTCAACCGTCCCATCGCCACAGCAGCACATTGCTATGGTTAAGCTGTTTATTGGATGAAACGCGTAACATATAGAAGTGAACCAAGTATACTTCAACATAACATTTGGCACTGAGCCGTTCCCTGAGTTTCCAACAAACTGAGTTCCCAGCATACTTCAGCCCATCACGAGCATTACACTAATGTTATGGGTGAGTGCTGTTTATTGTACTGTTTAACATGTAACTTGGACTCGTCCCTCGTCAACAGATGAACACCGCTAGGTAGAATTTTATGTGGGTATGTTGTCAATCTTTTGTGCAAAATGAATTATCATGCTACTGTCCCATCCTTTCTTCTACTTTCTTTTTACCTTTTTTCGCTTCGTCTTACAGGTGTACAGCAGGCACTGGTTCTAGCTGTACGGGTACGGTGGTGTAATGACACGTGCCAAGTTGTGTCATTTAGAAGCAATGCGAATGCCACACATTAGGGGTGCATATGATTTCAACACAGGATAATGAGCGTAAATGTGATGTAAAAAAACTCGCCGTACATGCTCGTGTGATTTCACTTCACATGCATAAAACGAGTTCATTTTCAGGTCAGAAGTAGGTTTTGCCTTGAGGGGTGAAATGCACGATCGTACTTGATGGGATGAAGTAACATAGACCCCTATCAGTATCAGTTTAGCTGATTGAGGTGTAGGTTACACTTCTTGCACCGTTATTGGAATGTTTAGGTATGGCCCCTTCAACTCTATCTTTATGCGAGCCTCATGACTCAATTGGACCCACATGATCCACTTGCAAGTTTGGCAACCCAGCAATTTCTTTGTCGGGCGACGGCCTCGGCATACATTTGACAGGCGGGCCGCGCTTTTCGGGAACGCGTGGGGAACCCGCATGCGAACTAGCTGAGGGTCATTGAGTAACCTCATACCTGGTCGCATGACCGTAGGACAGGGATTTCCCTGTTTCTTTCCCCTTGTGACTGCCAAGGATGGTTGACGAAACCGACGACTCGGCAAGAACCCGCGATAAATCGCAAGCTCGCCGCAGCTTCTCGCACAGCAACCCAGGCCAACACAGCAATATCCGCCAACTCCCCTCGGCCCAACTCCTGACTCCCCTCATCCTCAGAGTTCTCACACTTCCACCGTCCAAGAAAGTAAAATCGAGCAAGCATTTCTTGAGCAGCCTCCCTACGCATATATATTATCTCCCTCTACTCCCGCAAATTCCTCGTCATATATTTTCACTAGTTCCCGTTCACTCTAGATCTCGTGCCTAACCAGCTCGAACGTGGCACTCAATTCCTAGCTCTTTATTACAGGAGTTATTCTAAGATTGCAGAGTCCAAGCACAGAAGTCAAAAATCATTTTTTTTTTTTTTTTAATTTTAACCTCTAAAATGGCCCTGACACGCGTCCAATCAGTGCTATTGCTCCTCGTTCTCTCCCTCCTCCCCATCGTATCTCGCGCGTTGAATTTCGACTGCAATAACGAGCCAACCGACAGCATTTCCGTCCTCAGTTTCTGCACCGACGCCGGCGACCGCCGCACCTGCATGTACGGCAGCATTCCAGAAAATTATGACTACAACGCACTTCTGCGCGGCGCTCTTTTCTGTAAGGACTGCGCGGGAAGCGTGTGGCGACTGTCGCAGTGCTGCGACCTGGACTTGAGCGACTACTATCTCGTGGCTGGTCAGCAGGCGTACGCTGACTCCGCGAAAAACGCAATAAAAAAACTGAAATGTCCTGGAAATAAGGGGTGTAGCAATGGTTACCCCCAGTGTAATTGGAAGGGGTTCCAGGGTATTGCTCCCTATAGTAGGTATGCTGAGACAAGGGTATGGTAACCACATGATGCCGGTGTCTGTTAGGCAGGGCGGCTTAGGGGGTATCATGTGTTTACAAGCAGCAGAAGACAATCAGGACATACGTCCTCAGGACGTCAACGTCTCTGGAATCATAATAAAGCCTTGACGCCACATGTCACGTGGCCGCTTTGGGCTTTAGTGTGGCGAACGTGGGGATTCAGGTCTGATTGATTTTGGCGTGTTGCTGAAGATGGAGCTACTCGCTGATTTTGTGGAGCAGTGGCAATGGATCACATAGCGTGGTACCAGGGGTATATTATGCTGTACATGTTTCTGTGTATGTTGCAGCATTTGTGAATGGCAATATCATCATCTGTTAAATGTGCTAATTCCTACATCGTGCGTGTTTTTCATTGTGGAAAATCTTCTTCCACTTCAGTCTCACCAAGAGTAATGTATGCACCTAAGGATGTTCACCAACGAAGTGAGTGGCGTCCAGCACATAAGTTGGGTGTGTGAGAAGAAGTCTAAGTACTTTTTCATGGCAACCGTCCATATTTTCTACTGGCCTGCTTAGTTTCCAAATTTCGGAGATTCGTACAACGTTACTGAGTCTTGAGGCGAGTGAGTGAATATACGGAACGGGAAAACGCCACGAGGGCAAGTCAAGATGTGTCTGTTTCTCAGCTGTAGAACCTTTGTAACGCAATAGAGTGCTAAAGAACCGCACAGATTCACTCAGAGCCAACAGACATCGAACAGCTTATTGACACATCAAAGCACGTCATATCCACACCTGCCGTGCCAGTTGGATGTTCCAATTTGGCTCAATCAAGTCAACTCAAACCATGCGATATGGCCAGCAGCGCGAGAGAACATCATACACATCTCTTGCGAATTTGACAGCCAGTCATGCCGTTACAGGGCAGCAACGAGGGCCTATCATCGTGGCCCTAGCCCCTCCTACACCCTTGAACGATTCCAAAGAAACGCGCGAAACCAGCTTGCGAAGATCAAGGACACACGGCAAGACTCAGGAGAAGCACGCGAAACCAGCATGCGAAAACAATTCGCCAGCCTGGCGTCGCACGGCGAATTTTGTGACTCGGCGCGGCTTCATTAGAAATCCCTCCATTGCTGTACCAGTCACTCATTCGCCTGAAAGAACACTTAGCCCTCGAACAGGGGAGCTCACTCTTCCCTCCCCTCCCCAAATCCTGCACCCTTCTTCCCACGTCACAGCATGCAGCTGGTTCTCTCCTGTATTTAGCTTGTTCAAGCACCTGTGCCTTTTCAGGAAATCTCAACTAGTTCACTTCTCAGTTCCCAGGAAACCTGTTCCTTCATAGCAGAAATTTGTCAGCGAGCTTCACGCTCTGGCTAAGCACCTTTGCTAGAATCCTCGTCTTCCAATTCAGTGAGCCTCCAGCAGACCCTCGAGTGTAAGCTTTGGTTTCCGCAATAGACGAGTATTTTCCCACCAGGTTCCTTCGTACTAGTAGTAGGCGTCAGTCAACTGCACCAGCGACGTCCCCCCAGCGCCGATGGCGGCGAAAAATCCTCCCCTGATTCTCCTCGCGACTCTCTTCCTCTCCTCCCTTCTTCTCCCGCTTGCTCCGGCTCGCGCGTTCACCTTCGACTGCGCGAACGAGGTTAGCGAAACCGTTTCCATCCTGAGCTTCTGTAACGGGGATGGCTGGCGTCACACGTGTCTCTACGGCGGCGGATACGCTACCGACGGCTCGGGGGAGTGCACGCGAGTTGATAACGGCGCGCTGTACTGCACGGATTGCCAGGGGACCGAGCACGTGCTGGAGCGCTGCTGCGATATAGACCTCTCTGGTTACGAGCTGAGCGCAGGCCAGCAGGCCAACACGTATGATATCGAGGCAGGAATCAGCGTGCTGCAGTGCCCCGGGAACTCCGACTGCGCCGATTTTGGCTATCCGCAGTGTAACGGAGGTGGGTACGATGGGATTACTCCGTATTTCTACAACGAGTTTTCCTACTCGCGCGGTTACGATGTTTGCCCCGATTCCAGCAACGGCGGAGTGATGCTGCGCGCGTTGGAGCGCCCCCGCCCGCACAGCAGCGGAGTGCGCCTGCGCGAGGCGGAGGAATCCGCCTTTCCGGCGGAGGAGCTTCCTGCGGAAGAGGTTTCTGTCGCGGAAATCCGCGCCATTGCTGCCCCCCGTAGTGCGCAGGTGGGCGGAGTGACTAAGATGCGCCGCCGCCTGTGGGGAAGCGGACGCCCCTGGTCTCCCCCCAAGATGTACCGCCGCCGCCTGTGGGGAAGCGGGCGCCCCTGGACTCCCCCTAAGATGTACCGCCGCCGCCTATGGGGAAGCGGGCGCCCCTGGTCTCCCCCTAAGATGTACCGCCGCCGCCTATGGGGAAGCGGGCGCCCCTGGTCTCCCCCGAAGATGTACCGCCGCCGCCTGTACGGAAGCGGGAGGCAGTGGTACCCGTAACAACACAGGAGCAACAGCTAATTCTAGGCACGAGAGACCAGGAGCTAGAAGCAAAGCAACGGTGAGAGGAAGTGGGTTTGATGTGAGATGTAGAAGATGGAGATTGGTTAGATGATCGTGCGGTCCATAATGAAGGCTGATCAGGTAGCAAAGTTACAGGGTTTCGTGATAGTAGGGGCCAGAACGGGATTGTTGTGGTTCGGGATTAGAAATCATTGTTTTTAGTGTAGGAAGCGTGTGCTAGAAGATATGCTTGTACTCTCTTCTCTTGTACTTCATATTTTTTTTATGGCTCTTAATTTTACAGCGTAACTTCAACAGGGCTTCAGATTGGATTTTGAGGAGCTGTTGGCTCAGGGTGCCCCCAGAAGGAGCCACCGTTTCTCAGGGTCGGGTTCCAGAAGTTGCAAATTTTATCCGCGTAAATTTTTTCGAAAGCTGAATGATCAGGATGTCAAACATGTGTATTTGTTATGTTTGCATAGACTGTATAGGGTCATCTCTTAGAGGGTACAATACTTAGGTATATCTATCTGTACTCTCCCTCTATCCTATCATTCACTTCTCTCAGTTTGATATGGTATCACGCGTAGGTTAGGATCCCCCCACCTACCGCTTCCGCTCGTCCCCTAGCTAGGCCCCGCCGTGCCTCCCCCCTAGCCCCGTCGCGACCTCCTGGGCCACGTCGTGCCCCTAGCCCTGCCGCGCCCCTCCTGGGCCCCGTCGCGACCCCCTAGCCCCCGTCGCAACCCCCTGGGCCCCGTCGCGACCCCCCAGCCCCGTCGCGACCTCATAGCCCCGTTGCGACCCTCCCGGGCCTTGCTGCGCCCCTCGCCCTGTAGTGCCCCTCCTGGGCCCTGTAGCGCCCCTCCTGGGCCCCGTAGCGCCCCTCCTGGGCCCCGTCGCGCCCCTCCTGGGCCCCTCCTGGGCTCTGTAGTGCCCCTCTTGGGCCCCGTCGCGCCCCTCCTGGGCCCCGTCGCGCCCCTCCTGGGCCCCATCGCACCCCGCCTCGGCCCCTCCTGGGCCCCGTAGTGCCCCTCCACGGCCGCGTCACGCCCCTCCTGGGCCCCGTAGCGCCCCTCCTGGGCCCCGTAGTGCCCCTCCAGGGCCGCGTCACGCCCCTCCTGGGCCCCGTAGCGCCCCTCCTGGGCCCCGTCCAGCCTTCAGGCCCCGTCGCGCCCTGCCCGGCCCCGTCGCGCCCTGCCCGGCCCCGTCGCACCTACCCGGCCCCGTCGCACCTGCCCGGCCCCGTCGCGCCCGCCCGGCCCCGTCGCACCCGCCCCCGGCCCCATCGCACCTGCCCGGCCCCGTCGCACCGGCCCGGCCCCGTCGCACCTGCCCGGCCCCATCGCGCCCGCCCGGCCCCGTCGCACCCGCCCGGCCCCGTCGCACCGGCCCGGCCCCGTTGCACCTGCCCGGCCCCGTCGCACCGGCCCGGCCCCGTCGCGCCTGCCCGGCCCCGTCGCGCCCGCCCGGCCCTGTCGCACCCGCCCGGCCCCGTCGCACCCGCCCGGCCCCTTCGCACCCGCCCGGCCCCGTCGCACCCGCCCGGCCCCGTTGCGCCCTGCCCGGCCCCTGCACTCATCCCTGCCCCGGCCCCTTCCTCCTCACTGGTACGGTCCCCCCCCCCCCCCCCCCTCCCTGCACTGCCCTGCACCGCATTGCACAGCCCTGCACCGCCCCGCACCGCCCTGCACTGCCCTGCCCCGCGCTGCACCACCCTGCACTGCTCTGCTTTGCACTGCACTCCACTGCACCGTACTGTCCCGTCCTGCCCTGCCCCTGATGGCGACGAAGCTTCGCTTCGACGCTGAAGGCCAGCCTCTGGAGTTCGAGGCGTGGCTTGCCGACCTCCGGCGCCAACTCACTGGCCAGCGGCAGGATGGTGAACCGCTTTCCGCACACCTTGACGGTACGCTCCCCTGCCCAGACCCCCCTGCTATTCTGCCCGCTGACTCCACACCCACTGAGCTCGAGTCTACTGCTGCCACTGCCCGTGCGCGCTCCGTATGGCTTTCACGCGAAGCTGTCGCCCAGCTTGCCATTAGCAACGCCCTTCCCGCGTCCGAGCGCCCTCGCTTTAGGTCCCTCACTACTGCTCAGGCATACTTAGATGCTGTCATCAAGCGCTATTCCACCCCTCCGGTTGCCTCGGTGGGTCGCATGATCCTCCCGATGCTCTTTCCTGACCTTGCATCTTTCCCCACTGTCTCTGACCTCGCTGCCCACCTGCGCTCGATAGATGAGACCTGGCGCGCTGCCTGCACTGACGCACAGCTTAGAGCCCACCAGCCGCCCATTACCTCTACCCTTTACCTGCTTGCCACCCGCCTCCCTGACCGCCTTGCTGTCGCCCGCGACCGCTTCCTTAGCATTCACCCCGCAGACCTCACCCTCACTGACTTTGTCGACACCCTGACTGTGATTGAGACCCACCACCGCTCCATCGCCCAGGCGAGCGGTACCGTGCCGGTCCCTATCTTTCAGGGTTGTGCCCCCGCTCAGTGTACCTTCTCCGACGGCTCTGCCGCTGTGGCTGAGACTGCTGCTGCAGCGCAGTTTCGTTCGGGGAAGGGCCGCCGCCCCAAGGTTGGGCGCGGCGGAGGAGGCGGGGGTGCTGGAGGGGGTGGTGGTGGGGTCGGGTCGTCTGGTGCTGGAGCGGACGAGGGTACCCTGCCCAGTCCAGCTTAGCCGCTGCCCCTGCAGTCGCAGCAGCAGCAGCCGCAGCAGCCGCCGCAGTCGCAGCAGCCGCAGCACCCGCCACAGCCGAGGCAGACGAGTGTCCTCCCGCCCGGGTGGCCCGGCGCTGGCGGTGGTCGGGCGCGTGGTGGTGTACCGAGTGGTGGTTCCGGGGGCGTGCGTTGTCAGTACCAGATCCAGACCGGTCCTCGCCGCGGCCTCGTTTGCGGTAAGATCGGTCATTCCACTCCCCGCTGTTTTCGTCGCCTGGACAACCTGTTCCGTCAGCGCTTCGGCCCGTCGCCAGACCTCCCGGACTGGCACAGCATGCTTAGACGTAGTATTCCGATTTTTGACTTGGACATGGATGCCATTGTTGCTGCTCTGCATGTGATGTATGCTGATGACTCTAGTGTGCTTCCCGCTTATTACTCACTGTCATCTATTGTAGGTGTGCCTAGCTTAGCCTCCCCTGCTGCGTCAGGCGTAGGATCCCCTGCTTTTTTTAGTCTTGGTGCTTCCGCCGTCGACCCCACGCCAGACGCCTCTGCTTCGCTTTCCTTCACCTTGGACTCTGGCGCTTCCCGGTGCTTCTTCCGCGACTCCACTACACTGACGCCGCTTCCTAATCCTGCTGCCGTTTCTCTTGCTGACCCCTGCGGTGGTCCGGTAGTCGCCCGCAGTTCCACCACCCTTCCCTGTCCGGCGGTTCCTTCGGGCTCTCTCACAGGTCTGCATACCCCCTCGTTCTCCAGGAACCTAGTTGGTGTCGGCTGCCTCCAGGACCTTGGCGTCACCACTACGTTCCCTGGTCACGAGCGGTATGCTGTCTGTACCGAGGCCGCCACTGGTGCCCCCCTGTCCACGTTCCCCCGGGACCCGGTGTCCGGCCTGTTCACTCTGGACACCGTGACCCCCCCGGCTGGAGCGCTCATCCAGGTTGCTGCTGCCTGCTCCTGTCGGTCCCTCACTCACCCGACTCTCCTTTGGCACCACCGCCTAGGTCACCCTGCGCTCCCGCGTCTGCGTCACATGTTACAGCACGGTCTTGTCCTTGGTCTCCCAGGTTCTCTCCCTGCGTTTCCCTCCTCCCCAGCCCCACCTTGCACGCCTTGTGTCAAGGGTCGGCTTCGCCGTGCCCCTCACTCCTCCTCGTTTCCCCCTACAGCCGCGCCGCTGCAGACCCTGCACCTGGACGTCTGGGGCCCCGCCCCTGTCCCTGGACCGCGTCGAGAGCGCTACTTCCTTGTCCTTGTCGACGACTTCACTCGTTACACCACAGTCTTTCCCCTGGAGCGTAAGGCCGACGTGCCTGGCGCTCTCATCCCCTGGCTTGTCTCTGCGCGTGTCCACCGCGGTCTCCCTGTCTTGCGTCTTCACTCCGACCGTGGTGGCGAGTTTGCCTCAGGTGTCCTTGGTTGCTTTTGTCGTGCGGAGGGCATCATCAGACGTTCACCCTACCGGACTCCCCACAGCAGAATGGGGTCGCTGAGCGACGCATCGGTTTGGTCATGGAGGTGGCTCGCACCTCCATGATCCATGCCGGTGCACCCCATTTTCTGTGGCCGTTCGCTGTGCGCTACGCTTCTCACCAGCTTAACTTGTGGCCGCACCCTCAGCAGCCGCAGGTTTCGCCGACCCGTCTTTGGACTGGGTCTCCTGGTGACGCGTCTGCGTTCCACGTCTGGGGCTGCCTTGCTCACGTCCGTGCCTCCGGCACGGACAACCTCACTGCCCGCACCCTTCCCTGCGTCTTCCTCGGTTTTCCCCTTGACGCGTCCGACTGGCACTTTTACCACCCGCCGTCTCTCCGCTTCTTTCACTCTCGCGACGTCACCTTTGACGAGTCCGTCTCCTACTACCGCCGCTTCCCCCACCGTGGTCCCCCGGTTACCCCCCCCCTGTTCCTGGTCACTCCTTCCCCGGTAGTCCCTGCCCCTCCTCCTCCTCCTCCCCGTCCTGCCCCCTCTGGTGTGTCCCACGTCACCCCCCTCCCGTCGGTAGACCCGGTTGAGGAGTCTTCTGACTCTGGTGGCCCTGCTGCGCAGTCCTCACCGGCCGCCCCTCCCCGGGCATCCCCTCCCCATTCCCCTCCTCCACTGCCTCTGCCGCCGCTGCCACCGTCGTGGTCGCTGCCGCCGCCGCCGCCCCCGCCGCCGCTGCCACTGTCGCAGCACCCGTTCGCTGACTCTGGGGGTGCTTGTCCCGATCGCCCTGGGGGTGGTCACTCTGGGGGTGCTGGTGTGGAGTGTGCCGGTGGTAGCCGAGGAGCAGCTTGCGGTCCAGGTGTCGCCGTTGTGCCGCCGCAGCAGCAGTCCCCGCCGGTGTCAGCCCTTCGCCTGCTCGGCCTTCCGTCCCCCGACCCTGCGTCTGTTCCTCTCCGACCGTCTCCTCCTTTTCCCGTCTACGGCCCTGTGTTCCCTCCGCCGGACTCGTCCCCGGCCCGTCTCCCCCCTCGTTCCCCTCCTGTGTCCCCTCCCCTGTCTCCTGACCTGACTCCTTAGTCTCACGTCTGGTCTCACCGTCCCTCCCGTGCTCGTCCTGCCTCGCCTGTCTTGCGCTCCCACCCTATGTTGCTTCGTTCCCACGCGTCTCGTCCTCCCCTTCTGCCG